TAATGTAGAAACAATTAAATGAAACTTACCATTTTTAAAATCACTAATTCTTTAAAACAAGCGTGTCAGTAATCCGCGTTTTCTCTTCTGCCTTTAATGGTTGTGTGATTTTATACTCATACAGTAAGTGTATATGTCGCAAATTGACAAAAACTGGCATGCGTATCAAAACAACACATGTACAAGGTGTGTCGGGACGCTGTGTTTTTATGTACAAAACTAGAAATTTGTACGCCAATATAAAGCACTTTAAAACTATAAAACGTTAAAAGAAAAAAGATAGTGAAATAATTGATAACATTCAAACTGGATCATAATGTAAAATTATGCATCATTGTTTAATTGTAGATAATAAAATAATTTTACGCAGTGATTATGTTGACATTTGAACAACAAGCATGCAGGGAAAATATCACATCAAACTTTTCACATTATACCATATTTATTCATCTAGTACAGGCGGTATATATGTCTTTATAATCACAAATATATCATGAAATGTGCATTTCTTGGCAATGAAATATATTGATTGTAAAAACATGTCTGCAGTAACATAAAATGTAATCATAATATGAAAACGTGGAAGTTGATGTCGTTATTATGCTTTCCAACTAATTGATGACAAAATTGCTCAATTCGACACTAGTACTAGAATAATTAAGAATATTGTTAATAGTTATATAGTATCATTTATTTCCAGTATTGGGTTTCGATTGAACCTGCCTGACAAAAAAACGAAATGTCCTTGAGAGTTTTTCTCACGAATGAAGATCGATTACCCATATTTCAAAGCTTGTAAAATATCATATTGTTGTTAGGAAGTATTATTTTTATGTAAAATGTTGAAACTATTACTGTGCAAATTCCCGGAACAAATTACATTAAATATGTTCCTGGTATGATTTCAATGCATATAGTTCTCTATTCAAAACAGTCAAAATTAGATGATTCCTCTAGTTACAGAGATAATAATTTAATGAGAATTTCATACACTCTGTAAGTCATTATTATGATGTGGGAGAAATTCTAGAATGTTCTGGTAATACACCTATAATACTTGGTCATTATGAGCCGACATGAGCTATATGTCATATTGATAAATGACAATACCTATATACTTATATACTTATATTGAAATCTATTATTTCTTAATTTTGTATATGTTTCATTTGATTCTTACAAATTAATATTATCTAAATTTTTGTCGCATTATTTACAAAATGCTCTACTGGCATGCGAGCAGTTCCCGTACAAAAATCGTAGTGAGTTAAACATTATTTTTTATTACGCTCACTCACCACAATTTGAATGTTACACATCAATATTCAGCTCGTCACACAAATAATGGAAATTCCATGATGTTCTAAACATAGAACAACCCTTAGTTATGAGGCCTCATATGGGGTACCGAAATTATCCATTTTTTGTTTGAAGAGAAGTAGTTCCCGTACATAAAATTTAACCCATTATAATTATACAAGTTTGTTATATCGGACCTATTTTTCATTTATAATTATTGAACAGAGCATTTTCTAAGAGATAACTAGATGTAATTCAGGAAATAGAGCGTAGACTAAACGCTGGTATCTATTACCCGGTACCGTTACCCCAACGCATTCACATGCAATGGCATGCTTGTATGCATGATATTTTACGCATCAAAGCCATAAAATTATTTAAATATTGTAATATTGGCCAAAATTCTGATAATTAAACAAGTTTTCATCACATTGCCTACTTATCTGTAAACAGGTGGTATCAGTGGAAAACCCTTTAACAGGCCTCACGTGTCAGTATTTTAGCGCATGCACGCAAGGACGGAATCCCCCAGAGAAAACAAGGTCACTTTTTGACAACGCACAGGTGAAAGTGATTTAAAATGAGACTTTTTATACGTACTGCCGAACTGACACTTAGATTTTGTCTCGTTTATGCATCTGCTTGATTTGAAATGAATTTTTGAAGAATGCAAGTAAAAATTAAGCGTTTAAATGAAAAATACGGGTACTGCTTCTGTACGGGAACTGCTCGCATACCAGTAGAGGTACATAAATGTTAAGAGCAATGTCACCTTTAATGCACGTAGGCATGCTTTTTTGTAAATTTGTTTCCTAATTCATCTTCGAAATTCAGATTCTATCGCCATTTGAATCACATCCTTGATTATTTCAACAATTTCTTCTAAGTTTTTCTCAGTTTCCCTCTGAGATTGTTATACAAAGTGCATGATTAGATCTAAACATAACTATTTAATTGATTGCCATCTTCATCGAGCACGTGGTTTCCTTTACAAATCACTTCTTTCAATGTTATGATTTGCGTCATAATCATGAGAACTTCTAGGAAATTCATCGTAAAATTTCCTGGCAAAGAAATAAAATATTAATATTCTCAACTTTCCAGAAAAATAAAACAACTAGGAAATTATACTCTGCCAAGGTAACTAGTACAGACTTTCGGGTCACTTAAATCATATAGACACGCATACAAATATTTCATTTCCAATTTTAACACAACTTATTTTTGAGTGCATATCTTTTATAAAATAAGACACAAGACGATACTTACTTTTAGAAATCAAAGTTTGCAAATTTTATAATTTTGTAACTAAGGCTGTATGTTCGTACAGACAAATTTGAAGAACTTTTGAGGAAAGTGAATCTTTATCTTCCGAGAGTTATTTTCAACAGTGACAAGAAATGTGCAACATCTTTAACGTCCAAAGAAGTATTCATTTTTAAATCTTATTTAAGTTAGACATACCATATAGATTTAATTGAATTCAAACTTGTGGCAAGACGCGCAATTTTAAACCACAAATATTATTTTTACTTGCATACAAAATATTTGAACTTGTACACTTAAGATTTTTACTTGTACACTTATTTTCACATCGACATCTACTTTATTGATCATGTCTTGTACCTCGGATATTGTGGGATTCTGCCCGAAAACATCTTTAATGCTATGTTGATTGTTCAACCACTTTTCTTGTGAAGAATTCAATTCAACAATTCAAACCTTACAATGAACTAATCGTACCAAACCAAAGGGATAGTTAAAGTTGATTTCTGATTAGATCTATTTAAAATGAAAGCATTTGGCATATCATGACCATTTTAACGATAAAATGTGTACGATTTGTAGGTTTTGATAATTCAAGAGACATTCAGATTTTACTATATTATTATTTATATTATTATATATATTACTTCAATGTTTACAAGCTTAAACTATTATTTCGATCAATAAATGCTTTTTGTAACAAATAACATTACTTTATTCAATGTAAATCTTATGCTATACTGTGCTCCTCTTAGTTCACGGTACGTAAGGAAGAAAACAACAAATGAAACTTATGGTACAAAAATTGTCGTAAGCTATAAGTATTTTCTACTGTATGGCACAAGGAAACAACAATATATTCAGTCAAAGTCAATTTTAATGGACCATACCTAGACCATATGTCAGCCATTTTGATAAAGGTATGCAATCATTTAAATCGCGGTAATGTTGTTACATTTCAGTTTTTTTCATGTTTCAGTTAAAATTTCTGCACATTATTTTGCTTGATTTTAAATATTAAAATTATTCTGACTTTGTAACTCAAAATTTATTTTTCCAACAAACAAGAACATTTAGAAAATGATGATTGTATCAGACATACGCACAAATTTAATGGACTATTATTGCTTTTTGCAGAAATTTGTAAAATTTTGTTCTGTTTTACGTAAAAATCTAAAGATTTAAAATATTTTTGCACAAGAACTTTGTTGTACAGGTGTATGAATAAAATATGTAAATTCTGACCAATTTTAACACTGGTCACATGAAAATATGCCATTACCGTGAAATAAGTGATGACGCAGAATTAGTGATGTTGAGTATACGTCAAATTTATATTTATCATTTTGAAATTGGCGGGCGTCTTGAATGAGATATTTTTTGGCCCACTGAACTTTTGATATATATTCCTGATAGTATTACTATGTATACTCATTTGACACCAGAAACCTTATTCTCCGCCTACTTCATGACTTGACATTTTAAATGACGTCATGCTTCGATGAAATAATAGCAAGTATACCACCTTGCGTATTACATAATTAAGATACACTCCTCTGTTAATGAGGGGTTGCCTATGAAACAAACAAATCCTTTTTGTATATTACAATTGTATTTCTTTTCTTTCATCTCGAATTTTAAGACGCATACTGATATGACAGATCTATTAATATCTTAGATAGGATGATACATATGACATCACTTCCAATATACTACAGACCAGATAATCGTGTACACTTAACAAGCTAGATATCTTAAATGGAGTTGTCAATATTTCAGTCTAAACAAAACCCTTCATCATTTTCACGGAAATACTCAAAACATGTTCTAACTTAATAGCGAACAGTTCAGACAGATCATGATCAGACTAAACTGACTGATCTTGGTCTTCATGGTTATATAGTTAGACCCTGTTCCCGCCAGCAGGCTCATAGGTGAATGTGCTAACTGTTCTCTTTGTTCTCGATTTCCTGAATAGACATAAATTGTCATGGCTCTTTTAAAGGATAGTCAAGGGCAGTCTTTTTAAAAATTTCTTTGAGATAAATAAAGAAAGATTTTCCTCTTTTAAAGTCTCAAACATAGATTTCATAAACTCATATAAATATGGACTTATTGATATTTTGATAATGTTCGTCTGATTCCTTTCAACTAAATCAAATGCTAATAAGTAAACAAATTATTATTTAGTGTCATGAACGTTTTCTTTATCAAATGTCGATAAAAGACAAAATTGCCTATACCGAAATTTTCTCGTACTCAAAATATTCAAACGCCTTTTGTCGATTTATAAACTCGTATTATCAATCAAATATAAATCTTTTGACCGTAAATAAGATGTATTTTCATTTCGCAAAAATGAGGTACACATGTAGTTTAATTTCACAATATGGATATGTTCGGTCCGCTTTTGTTATGCGACACCTATATGAAATATAACATTAATGTCGCATTGCGGCATAAAATTCAATAGTTTGCGTTCGTTTCAGAAATGAATATAACAGTTAACGTTGGACTAAAGGCTTTGCTAGATTTTCACATATTCGTTTAAAATGGTAAGTTTAATTTCTTCAGATAATCAATGCAAGTTATAAAGATGATAGATGTTTTGTTTAAGAAACTCATTCGGGCATTTGTAATATTTCATACTTCTATATGCATTAAATTTGTAAATATAAATAGCAGTTTTCTTAAACTGATGAACAATTTAATTGGCTATTTTTTTCTTAGCTTTATGTCAGAGTAATAAGATACAGCGTAACAAAACGCTCTAATGAAATGTCTTATTCCTAACTGTTTCAGGCTAATCAATTAACAGAGGAGCAAACTGCAGGTATGTACCATTTTGATTGCGTCCTGGAAGTTCTAAAATGAGTATAACGTTATAAATATTTACTCTTAAAGCTTTCAGTGTAAAATTATTTTTGATTGTAATAGAATTCAAGGAGGCTTTTGGTCTGTTTGACAAGGATGGTGATGGCACAATCACAACCAACGAATTAGGAACAGTAATGAAGTCTTTGGGACAGAACCCTACTGAAGCAGAGTTACGAGATATGATCAATGAGGTGGATGTTGACGGTAGACTTTTACTTCTTTTGATGATAAATATTATAGTTGTTGTAAATCTATATAATAGTTTGAATATTTTGTTCTCATTAATCCATTCACAATTTTTGTTTTCTTATGATTGATTGATGGGCGCACTAGTTTTCTAATGGTTTATGCAAAAAAATATGATGAACAAGATAAACAAGGAAAGGCGGCGTTCAATAAACGCAACCCCCACACGACCCATTAACAAATTTTATCAAACACATACATTATATACATTCAACCAGACAGTCCCCTGGTGTAGTATAAAAAGAAATTGACTTACATTAGAGATATGCTTCAATGAATTTTCATAAATACATAATAGTCTAACAATTAACTGGTTGCCGTTCCACTGTACATGTATTTGTGTGGGTGGGAATGCGTTATGTTAATGTTGATTCTCACTATCATTATGATGTTTTTATAGGAAATGGTACTATAGATTTCCAAGAATTTCTTACTATGATGGCACATAGCCAGACTGATGATGCTGACGGAGATTTACGTGAAGCTTTCAGCGTTTTTGATAAAGATAACAGCGGAACAATTAGTGCAGCTGAATTAAGACATGTTATGACAAACCTTGGTGAAAAACTTACAGATGAAGAAGTTGATGAAATGATAAGGGAGGCTGATATTGATGGCGATGGTCAAGTCAATTTTGAAGGTAAAAAGAACAAATGCATAACGATTCAACAAAGTTGTTGCGAAAATAAAAATCTGGTTTAATGAAGGTTCGATTAATATGGACTATTCTTAGAATTTTGTCGAAATAAATTTCCAATTTATACATTTATACCAAATCTGGTATATGTTAGTTTGATACCTAGTTTCAGTTTTGATTCAGGGATGAGTTTTAGTTTGAACATTTCTAAAAGAACAGCGCAAAAATCTGCTTTGTTTTATTTCAGAGTTTGCCATGATGATGAAAGGGAAATAAGCACTTTTTTGACGAGGAAAAATCAACAAGATAAAATAATATGATAAAAGAATGTTGAGAGATAAGGACTTTTTCATATAAAGTTTTTCTAGCGACACTTCCGAAGTGAATATCATACATTTTGAAGATATTTAAATCCCTTTAGTATCTTATTATTAGAACTTGTTACTTAAAAGAATCACATTATGACAATAGTCTAAATATATTGCATATATCAAGAACTTTGCTTCTTTTGCAAACAAGGTTAAATAACGCTATGTCAAAATTACATTTATGTAGTAAGTAGAAAATACGAAATTGAAACATTTAGCTGAAATAAAATGTTTCAAAATGGTTTATGTTAACGTCACTCTTCCTTGATCTTTGTGTTCATATTTTCATGTGCACTGAACTTGTTCTTTGTAAACTCATTCCTAGGAGTGATGAATACATTTGCGATTATATAGCAGTAATGATTTTAGAAAAAAAAAACAAACGTTTCTAGTAACCTTAGATGTTTAAATCTGGGCAATTCGGGACAAAGTGGTAAAGGTTGTTTGTGTTCACCCCTGTTGTTTCAAAACATGTTTATGATATTGTGACTCTGGAGATCTTTCATAAGGAAAAGCTATATCCATTTCACTTATGGAAGTAATCGACACCTGACGTTTTCCTCCACCACTACAGCTGTGATACTATAACACAAACACAGATGTTTCAAGTTAACTAATTTTTTAGTCAATTTCGAAAGGAATGTCAAAATTATTATATATGTTCATGTAAACAGAATATTATAACAACAAAGAATAATTGCGTCTTTTTATTGAGCAACATTAGACAAACGATAATACGATTAACAATAAAATAAAAATAAACTTCATATTTATTAAACATGTTTATTTTCTTGAACAGACTCGTCCTCGTGTGCTCCTTGTGCTGGGTTCTGTGGGGTTTAGTTCACAAGTTCATTGAACGCCGCCTTTCCTTGTTGATCTTGTTTATCATATTTCAATAAATCGGAGTCTATCATTTTCAACTTTCGTTTCTTATATAATTGCTCGCGAGGGATCTTCTCTTTCCAGAATAAGATGAGCCGCGTCACGACAAAACCAAAATAGTGCCTTAGCGACCAGCATGGATCCAGACCAGCAGTCTGATCAGGATACATGCTGTTCGCTTACTAACTCTATTACAAGTGGAGAAACTGAAAGTGAACAGCAAGGATCCTGATCAGACTGCGCGGATGCGCAGGTTGGTCTGGATCCATGCTGGTCGCAAACGCACTATGTTGGTTCTGTCGTGACGCGTCTCAGATATTTTTAACAGCTGTGTTGCAGCTGTAGAATATTAGTACGTGCTTCAGCTTAATTTTCCTGGTTTGTCTTTTAATACTTTTTTGTGCTGAATACTGCCAAGGCCGCCTAATGGGTGTGATGATAAGACACGGGAAAATTGAGTCTGCAATGAGTTCAGCTATTTTTTCTTTTTGTTTATATTAATCACCTTTCCAGAATTTAAATAATGAATAATTAATAGTGTTAAGAAGAAAAACAAAACTACTTTTAAGCGTTAACGGAGACACAAACAATCGGTCCTTCAACTTGATGACATAACTTCGATCAAATCTGAAATCAATGCAATTTATACATTTGATTGTATGAAATATATAACCGTCTAAACCTTTAGTATTGAGTTTATGAATTACAATGTATGCACTAGCAATTGATATGGTTATGGTTAAATTCAATTGTAGATTGATCCTATCTATAAAATTGTGTACAATTTGTATTTTAATCACCATATACTGTATGCACCTACCGGCCACATCTTTATAAAATAAACCTGTTATAATTCATTATATCAAACCTTACCTTTATAGTCGACGTGCCCATCGACAATATTAATATCAGCATCTTGTAAGATATCATTTGCTTCCTTTGTAGTAAGTCCACCACCCAAATTTGTCATGGCATTTCTGAGGTTAGCAGCACTTAATATACCATACCCCTCCTTATCGAATACTCTGAAAGCTTCATATATATCCTCATCCCCTTCTTCTTCATTCAGTTTTCTTTTCATTAAAGTGAGGAATTTTGCCTCACTCACTTTTCCCTTACCTTGTGATTAGAAGCAAAAAAATCATTTAAAGTACTAGAAAAAACAGTACATTTAGTCATTTTTGAGTAAAACATACATGAACATGTACATTTTACTACCAAAAGAAATAATATATTTAAAATTAATGTAGAAAAAAATCTAAAAGAGTTTGTACACAAGTGTATAATTATCTGGACTATATATTTCACTATCATTAACTTAACATATTCTAATGCTAAATAAACTGTTATGTTTGCTCAAACGTAAAATAGAAATAAATAGGGTTTACATTATTTTTGCGTAGGGTTTACATTAATTTACTTTAAAAGACATTCCCACCGACAGTCCTTTATAACCTACAGTTTACTTGGATATATTCAATTGGCGACAAATTGAAATTTCATTTTGCATAAGTAGCTTTTGAAAGACGTGTTCACCGAATTATTGAAAGGGTTGATACGAAAAACAATCCTCTAGGTGTAGCAATAACGGTTTTGGAATGATGACTTGCAATGAGAGACAACCCTGTTCGGAGTCTTCTTATTGGAGAGGTCATTAGTTGTCTCCACAGTGTTGAGAATGATTGCTGGCGGCATCCATTTTTTGCGTATCAAATTGAAGCTAATGCATCTCATTTTAAGCCTTAAAACATTAAAACTAGTCTACTTAAATTGATTTGCACATGCTCTTCATATTTAATGCCCTTTTTGGGAGAGGAAATGTTTCTTTATACTTTCCAAAACATTAATCGAAAATCTGATCATTGGATTTTACAATCATTTATTTTAAAGTTAGTTTGATAACATAACATAAATTGTTCTCTTTCTAGAAAAATATCCCTAATGCGCCAAGAAAATGTTCGTTTCTCCGCCAGATAATCTTTTAAAAGTGCAAAACAAACTTTCATTATAATACTTTATTTAATTTTACCCATGAAATATGATGCTTTATTTAATTTTAACCATGAAATATGGTGCTATATCAGTCAAATATATTTCATATTTTTTAAAAATAAATATGAAATATAAATATGAAAGTGGGCGGAGTCAAAACTTATTTTAAGGGACTTCTTTCGGCGTTTTGTTTGAAAAATCTGATAAATACAAAACAACTTTTTCTTGAATTTTGTTTTGAAAACTATCTAGCATGATAGAAAATGGTCTAACTAAGAAAATTAATCCGAACACAAATATCTTTTATTCAGTAATTAACGCTGTACAGACGTTTAAAGAGTTGTTTACATGACGTCACAATGTAGCGCCAAACAGCGCGTGCTTACGCATAAATTACTGCGCGCTGTACAATCGCAGTCGGTAGCAAGCAAGGGGATTCGTTACCATTTTCTTTGATAATGAAATTAAATAAAAAGGATATTTTTTTGTTTTTTCGTGAAATATGGTATATATTTTCACTCAACATGATAAAATGCCACATATTTTCACTCGCTGTACCGGCTCGTGAAAATATGTGGCATTTTATCATGTTTCGTGAAAATATATTCCATATTTCACGCAAACGAAAAATATCCTCTTAATATCAGTCAAATATATTTCATATTTTTTTAAAAGTAAATATGTAATATAAATATGAAAGTGGGCGGAGTCAAAACTCATATTTATTTTCGGGGACTTCTTTCGCCATTTTGTTTGAAAAATCTGATAATTACAAAAAACTTTTTGTTGAATTTTGTTTTGAAAACTATCTAGAATGATAGAAAATGGTCTAACTAAGAAAATAAATCCGAACACCAATATCTTTAATTCAGTCATTAACGCTGTACAGACATTTAAAGAGTTGTTTACGTGACGTCACAATGAAGCGCTAAATATCGCGTGCAAAACAATAATTATATTACTGCGCGTTGTACAATTGCAGTTGCGTAGCAAGCAAGGGGGTTCGTAACCATATTTCTTTGATAATGAAATTAAATAAAAAGGTTGTTTTTTCGTTTTTCGTGAAATATCGTATATATTTTCACGAAACATGATAAAATGCCACATATTTTCACTCGCCGTCCCGGCTCGTGAAAATATGTGGCATTTTATCATGTTTCGTGAAAATATATTCCATATTTCACTTAAACGAAAAAATATCCTCTTAATATTCAATATGAATAATACATTCTATTTTGTTAAAAATTTGTAATTTATAATCAATTATTGTGCCTTTTATGCAAAAATATCTCCAAATATTTTCGAATTAAACAAATCTTACACAGCTGCAGAAATACCTCTTGGTTGCTTGTATATCCCAGTTTGCTGAATATTTAAACATGCATTCTTTTTATGGCAATTAAATGCACTTGCGACAAAATCGATGGCTGAATCATTAATGATTCAACCCGTTGATGTTTTAAAAGTTGAACGTTTTTGAATTAATCAAAATTGTTTTTTTTTACTTATGACTTTGAATAAAGTATCGAAGCACTTTATTACAACATCAATCTAGACTATGCAAAGGCACGTCGTGCAAAAGATGACAGTTTTGGCGTTACGTACAATTCAAGCAAAAAGTGACCGGGTGTACCCAATGTTTGATAAACAAACATGTGTAAATCAAATGGTTTGGATATTAAACAGTTATGACCAATATAATCAACGTTATGCTGAAACGTAAGATGGATGTTTCTTCTTCGTATGAGTATAAGTATGAAAGAAAGAAGTTAAAACCAACTTTTGCGTTTAAAATAAGATTGATAACTTAAGTTTATCAAACAATGCAGTTTACCATCATCTAACTCTGCAATATCCCCATCAGTTGGTGTCCGTCCAAGACATCTTATTGCAGTTTCTAGATCATCTCTGTTAATTGTACCAGCATTTTCCACATCAAACACGGAGAATATTTCCTTGATGTCTACGAAAACGAAGATATAAGAAGTTATTAATCGTATAATTCCAATTTACAAATTTACCGAATACACTCAAAAAACATTCATGTAATAAAAAGAATAGAAACAGTTTGTTGAAGCAACTCCAAACATAGATATTAAACAAAAATATTAGTTAGCGTCATTTTATGGCACTAGCAAAAAGGTAGGGGCTAGCGTTACCTGATGCTTTCATTATAAATTGGAACGATTCACTTAATTAATATGATGTTGAAGACATTGCTAACCAAATAAGAAGTGCAATTAAATGTATTCATGCAAAGAAATGGATTTACTACATCCGTTTAATAAACGAAATTAGTCAATTACTGCGATTTTAATTTTTTTTAAACATGTATATAATGAATAACATATTTATTTTAAAGATTTAGAGTGTAGAGACATGTAATTCACCCGAAGAAATACTTTAAACAATCAAGCTGCAACATAGATGTTAGGTATTGAACAACATCATAGACACATTGTAAATATTACAGAAACTTTATACAGAAATATTGAAATTAAACAAACGTTATAAATAAATTATATAAACTTAACATAGACAAAACAGAAACTAAGACAAGATGAATATAACAAACTGGCTGTATACGGTAGATTAAATATATTACATAAACATAAAAATAGATTACATACTTGCTTCGTGTGTACTGTCGACTTGATTTGCCTTAAAGATATAAATGAGCAGTAAATAAATTTGCGTTACAATATGTTAAATTGATAATGCTCATCAAATACCGCTTACAATTTTTTAAATTATGTAATCGATACTTAAACGTACATGTTTATCATATTATTGTCAAATTATCAATCATTAAAACTTCGCGAAAAAAGAATAAACGAAATTTTAATGACCTACCATTACTTCACTCCTTTGTGGTATGCACAAAACATAACTTCCGCCTTCAACAAGGATTTACAAAAGATCGTGTCAAATTTCTAAAACATGCAACGATGAAATTGATATGATATCTATAATAAACTTAACTTGAATATCACGCAATAATATTAGTGTCGATCCGTTCAACATATTTGATTTATATGAAGTCAAGACGAAACAAATATTTCAACGGTTATCATGATCTTCAATTCAATTAAGTATTGAATTCTATTCGATATATAATTAATAAAGATAATACTAGTATTTTATCCCTCTACTATAGTACTTCCTATTTATAATACTTATTCAATATGATTAAAATCACGGTAAGTGTCCAGCTTTATTTGTCATCAAATGAAAACGCTGTATTTCTTAAAAAATATGTGTGTTAATTTTCATAGAAGAACAAAAGTCGATACTTTATCGAATTCTGTTCATAGATGCCTTCTATTTTCATAGTATTTCATATAACCGCGTAGTGACTTAATTAAGTGAATAATAATGAGGCCAAATAAAGCTTGATACTAAGTATGTTAGTATTCATCCGTAGTTGTTCATCGCTCCCGTTGAAGTTTCTAATTTCTGTAGAACAGCACAGATGAACACTAACATATACATAGACAGACACTGTTTGAAAAAGGACTTTTTTCAGGAAAACATTTGCAAAGTGTTGAAAACATCTGCGGAAGTTTATAAAATGTTGAATTCTGCTTGAGCGATATTTGAAACATAAAAAGCTGAGAACACAGACAAACAAGGCATAGCAGCTCCCAACAAAATCCAGGCATACGATTCATGACAAATACTACTTGTAAAATCGACTATATGACCTCCACACGACATAAATATTATATGTGGCAATAATTTAGAAAACAACAGAATTCCCGAAGAATGCCCAAACGGCAAATTGAAAATGTTGCTGGCTCAGTTTGATTGAGCCTGTTCATGGACGGTACTGGACGTGCAAGTTACCGTCCACACACCCATAGCACCGGCTTTAGAAAGCGGCGTATGGTTGTATCTTGTCTATTCGTATTCAAATTATGGACGATTTTGCTTATTTTGAACAGAAATAAGGAAATGGATGGTAGAAAATAAGATTTTATTAAAGTAATATAGCAGTGTAACATAAAACAAACATGTATAATGTCATCAAGATGATCTTATTGCAGATTCATTTTGTAGATAATAATGCAAGTGTACAGTTTTTAAAAACAAAACAAAACTTGTTCTTCAGGTTACTTCGACATCATCATCTTCACAAATTCTGAAAAACAAAGCAAATAAAGTGAGTATGTTTGAAATAAATTATTCAAAAATGGGATCAAATTGAAACAATTGAAACCTTTCCAATTCATCATTTTTTCCCAACTATGCATTTTTGTATCGATGTTTCAAATGAGAAAATAAACATTTTGATATTCTCTTGCCTACATCAGATAATTTCAAAGGCGACAATCCTGTTTGTTCTTTTAAAAGCAGTTCAATTACCCCCCTTGACCCAATCTTATGACATAAAGCGGTTTGCTTTTAACATAAATTGAGTATGATATTTTCAAATATATGACATAACCTACATATATTTCCAGTGTCTCATAATAGCTAATCCAGTACCAATTCAAAGTAACAATACCTTCATAATTGACTTGACCATCTCCATCAATGTCAGCTTCTCTAATCATTTCATCAACTTCTTCATCTGTAAGTTTTTCTCCTAGATTTGTCATCACATGTCTGAGTTCAGCTGCACTAATGTAACCATTGCCATCTTTATCAAATACTCGGAACGCTTCTTTTATTTCTTCTTCACTATCTGTATCTTTCATTTTTCTAGCCATCATGGTAAGGAATTCTGGAAAATCTATCGTTCCATTACCTGAAAAAGTTTGATATAATTAAACCTATTCTCTTGATAAATATATTGCTTCATTTTTCAAATACAGATACAGTTCCTTTACTCGCGCAAGCCGCTATGAAGATATTCACTACTATTTGTTTTATGTTAGTAAATTTGCAATTGATGTAAATTTGCAAGCGCAAGTATGCTTCTTAATTAAGATTTTTTTCCGGACAATTAGGTGTTTCACTTTATTACTGAAAGTTATGGTTTGATTTGATCAGTTATTTGATTTTGATAACATATTTAAGATATGAAGTTAACAAACCATCAGCATCAACCTCATTGATCATATCTTGTAACTCTGCTTCTGTAGGATTCTGCCCCAAGGACCTCATTACTGTTCCTAACTCTTTTGTTGTGATCGTGCCATCACCATCCTTGTCAAACAAACTAAATGCCTCCTTGAACTCTGTAATAAAATAACAATTATATAAAAAAAGTACGAAACTATGAAAGTATGACTTACTTTTTAAAAAAAATGTTCGCCTTTTCTTAAACAATATTTTATTTAGAAGAGACACAAAAACATAACACTGAGATTTATCATCGCAAATTAACGACACAACTAATATCAACTTCAATTCTAGGCAAACTTCGCAATGTTCTGAAATTATTGATATGAGTGCTTTGAATTTAAATATTTTTCAGGATATTAAATGCGTTTTCAAGACATTTTCAAATATAATTTATAAGTAGTTATCACTGATAAGTATCATTTAACACCATGCTTGAAATAACAGAATGTGATTATTAATGTCTCAACATTCACATTTATTTGCATACAAATTTACCAATTTTAAGTTTTTTCATGATACAATGATACATATACTAGTATACTGTATATATTATTAGTTATAAAGATCGTTGACAGCTTATATGGCCCTATATAAACGGCTATTTGTAAATATAACCCGAGCCGTCAGGCGAGGGTTATATTGCAAACAGCCGTTTATATACGGCCATATAACCTGTCAACAATCTTTATAACGAATTTATAATACAGCAAGCATCATTTTTATAGAAAAAAGTAAGATTTGTTCATGAATCAACAACAGCCGTGTATATAAAACTATATAAACGTCACGATTATCCAATGAAAAATGACGTTACAAACGTGCAGTATTATAATGTACAGCATATTAAAATAATAAAGTCACAGCAATAACACGTATAATATCATTTTTTATTTTTCCAACGTTTCGGCAAATGTATGCCTTTTTTTTTTTTTTTAATGTACAGCATACATCATCATATCTCCTTTGTATCAACTATTTTGTTAACTTATGTTCTGAGTTGCAATTTTGATCTTTAAATTGTTATCTATTACATATTTTATACGCAAGGCAACTTGTTTTGTAAAAGTCAGTTAAAAAGGTGTGTTCTGGTGTATAAAATAAGATAAACATTAAATCAAAGGTAAGACGAAAATGTTTGATAGGCTAGGGAGCGTTATTTGGAAGATAAGTAAAATATGAGAGTATAGCTATTAAAACTCATCGCAATGTCCAACTTAAATAGGTAAACAAGGGGCAACTAAATAGGTACAGGACAAAAACAATGCTTGCAGTCTTTTAAATATATATCTCATGAAGAATCAATGTTAATTCATCTAATAGATTTGTATAATATCTATGAAATATTTAGTTTGCAAACTTTAATGTCGACACTTAGCTAAAACAGTACATGTATATAATATATAGTATTAATCATGTGTAAAAGTCGGATTTTATAGTTATTATTGAAAGAAAATTAAAAATTAAAATTGTAAGGTCCAGTTTAATTGACTATAATCTCGCGGAACAATCAAAGCATACCCAAATGATGAGGGAATTGTCGGAAATAGTTTTAAACTTTTAAAATGTTTATTAGTTATGCACCAATATTTGTAATTCTTCTACACTAATATATATGGAATGAAGCATGCATTACATTTTTTTGAGGTTGTGAAACACATTTAGAATAATTATCAGATGAAATGGTATATTTTTCTAATCATATGAATCAAACCACTGACCAGCGATCTGTTCCTCTGTCAATTGATCGGCCTGAAATAGATAAGGTATATCAGCAATTAACACTTTAGTTTGATTAATTTGTTACTAAATAATTTATTTTATAAAGATTTATATTTTTAGACAGAAGTTTTGTTTGTTTGTTTCATTTAACGCCTTTTCCCAAAAGTATTTCAGTCATTAAGGCGGGTAGTTTCCAAACCATCGTTCCTGGAGAGTTACACCAGTACTAGACTAGCTTCCTCCGTGCTAAACTACCAAAGCATCTCCCGGGGATCGAACCCACGCCAGAGAGGTAACTGGATTAGAAGTCATCGACTCTAACCCCTCGACCACGGAGGCGGTCATTTAAGACAGAAGAAAACCGTCGGAAACATCAAAAGGGTTGAAACGTTTCATGATTGCACTACGCATTATTGAAAACATAATAATAGAAAATAAATCGTTATCCAATTATGCACGGATCCAAATATTTCAAATATGAGTAAACGCGTAGTTGTATTGTAAAATATCAATTTTATAATTGTGCCCATTGTAAAATATCTTTCATCGTTGATTTTTTTGTGGTGTAAAGCAGCATAGTATTGATCAAATTTGAAAAACATGAATTCTTCTTGTAAGATAAAATGTAATTAGACATAAAATCTTATTTAAGGTAATGGAAAAATAAAGTATATGAAACATATTGCAAAATAATGAAATAGCAAAGGAATTTACAATTATTATGTACCATTCGGCGGCCAAAAATATACCATGCCAACAAAAAGCAATATATGAATGTTTAATGTACAAACAATTACCAATCTTAGAGTTTCTGTGCTGACGTTTCTATCATAAAAGCCAAATAAATATTTTCGTGTATTTTCACACCTTAAAAACGAATATTATATTCTGGGGAAATTGCATAAAGTTTTACTCATAATTTAACAAATCAGCTGTATTTATTGGCGCTAAGATAATATTGCATTAGAAAAGACATGGTTCGTAACAATATACAAAAAGTATGAGGAATTTGTATGACCCACAAACATTTTATTTTTATGACGATATGTTTGTTTAATTAATGTATGACAAAAATACTTTACTCGTCGCAGTATAATAATAGTTTGTATTTCTAAAACAATGAAGACAAAATACAATAAAACATTAAGCGCGATATTTGAAACATAAAAAGATAAACACAGGCAAACAAGGCATAGAGGTGTTCAGAACGCAGCTTCCAACAAAACCAGGCACACGATTCATGACAAACACTACTTGTAAAATCGACTATAGTATAGTATATACTAGTGTGCTTTTTAGTGTCGTACGAGCATTTTGAAAAAGTACTTTAACAATACCAGGCAAGGAAATTTACTATGCAATTATATCAAAATAGAGTCCCCAAATCGACAAAATTAAAAATGTTGCAGGCTCGGATTAATTGTGTCTATTAATGGACGGTACTTGAAAATGTAAGTAACCGTCTACGCCCCCTGTCACCGGCCTAACCTAAATTCAACATTTAAACATAAACATGAAGGGGAGCGGTGGCCTAATGGTTAAGGTGTCTGCCTCTCAACCCAGAGATCATGGGTTCGAGCCCTACTCGGGTAACGACCATGTTTCTCCATATGACACCAGTACTGATTGGTTCCAGGAAGCGGACTCGAAAGTAATTCATATAAGTTGCAAGAATTGTTTCGCAATCGAGCTTAAATAAATATGTTTAAACCAAACATAAAAATGAATTATGATGTTTACGGCAGTTATCATAGAACCTTCAATGTGACACTTTCATGCCATTCGATGCAAAGTGGCGTATAGAAATAGAAAATACCACAAACATGTGCACACAACAGTAAGGTTGCGCTGAACGGTCTCCTAGGATTGAAAGTATAACATCTTTGAATAAATGTACTGGGCGACTTTTTGCGACCTCCAAACGGCACAAATAACACTGATGTGGCAATAATATAAAGAACAACAGAATCATTGAAGAACGACAATTTGAATGGCGTTGTATAGTCCCAAAGTAAACAAGCGTACCTGCTACAGTCTATATAGATCAGTGTTACTGAAAATAACGGATTGTTCACAACTATTTGCTTTATATAATAAAATTATATTCACGTATATGTTCTTGTCCGTCGTTATAAAGGTATTACTAATTTACATTAATTCGTTTTACAAACATATATGCAATCTTGTCAATTTATGTCTTGCTTATTTTGAACAGAAATAGGAAAATGGATGATAGAAAATAAGATTTTATTAAAGTAATATAGCAGTGAAACATAAAAAACATGTAAAAATGTCACCCAGAAGATTTAATTGGCAGTTTCTTTTTTGTAGAAAATACGGGCAAGTGTCAGTTTTTAAAAAAAAATAAAAAACTTTTTTTAAAGGTTCTTCGAAAATAAATCATTTTTCAAAAATTTCTGAAAAAAAAAGCAAAAAAAGTGAGTATGTTTGAAATAAATTATTCAAAAATGGGATCAAATTGAAACAATTGAAACCTTTCCAATTCATCATTTTTTCCCAACCATGCATTTTTGTATCAATGTTTCAAATAAGAAAGTAAACATTTTGATATTCTTTTGCCTACATATAAACCATTCTAACGGCGACAATTCTGTTTGTCTTTTTAGTAGCAGCTCAATTATCCCCCTTGACCCAATCTTATTACATAAAGAGGTCCGCTTTAAGATATTGATTATAACATTTTAAATTATATAAAATAATCTAAATTTGAGCCACGTCACGACAAAACCAACGTAATGCGTTTGCGACCAGCATGGATCCAGACAAGCCTGCGCATCCGCGCAGTCTGATCAGGATCTATGCTGTTCGCTATCAGTTTCTCTACTTGTAATAGGGTTTCTAAGCGAACAGAATGCTGCTGATCCGCGCAGTCTGATCAGGACCCATTCTGTTCGCTTAGAAACCCTATTACAAGTAGTGAAACTGATAGCAAACAGCATGGATTCTGATCAGACTGCGCGGATTCGCAGGCTGGTCTGGATCCATGCTGGTCGTAAACGCATTACGTTGGTTTTGTCGTGACGCGGCTCATATATTTTCTGTGTCTCATAATAGCTAAGCCAGTTCAAATTTAAAATAATCATACCTTCATAATTAACTTGACCATCTCCATCAATGTCAGCTTCTCTAATCATTTCATCAACTTCTTCATCTGTAAGTTTTTCTCCTAGATTAGTCATAACATGTCTGAGTTCAGCTGCACTTATGTAACCATTGCCATCTTTATCAAATACTCGGAACGCTTCTTTTATTTCTTCTTCACTATCTGTATCTTTCATTTTTCTAGCCATCATGGTCAGAAATTCTGGAAAGTCTATCGTTCCATTACCTGAAAAATTTTAATATAATTAAACAGATACTCTTAATAAAAATATAGCTTCAATTCCTTTATTCGCGCGATATTCACAATTATAATATTTAAGATTTCCTTTACAGTATGAAATATGCAATTGGATGTAAATTTTCAAGCGCAAGTATGCTTTTGAATTAAGTTATTTTCTCCGCAAAATAAGGGTTTTCACTTCATTACTGAAAGTTATGTATTATAATTTTGATAACATATATAAGATATATAATGAACTTACCGTCGGCATCCACCTCATTGATCATGTCTTGTAACTCTGCTTCTGTAGGATTCTGTCCCAAGGACCTCATTACTGTTCCCAACTCTTTTGTTGTGATTGTGCCATCACCATCCTTGTCAAACAAACTAAATGCCTCCTTGAATTCTGTAATAAAATAACAATAATATAGAATTAAAATACAAAACTATGAAATTAAAACAATTGTTTACCTTATTAAACAATATTTTACTAAGAAGAGACACACAAACATTACACTGAGATTTATCATCGCAAATTAACGACACAACTAATATCAACTTCAATTCTAGGCAAACTTCGCAATGTTCTGATGTTATTGATATGAGTGCTTTAAATTAAAATATGTTTCAGGATATTAAATGCGTTTTTAAGACATTTTTGAATTAAATTTATTAGTAGTTATCATTTAACACCATGCTTGAAATAACAGGACGGTATTGTAACAATGTGATTATTAATGTCTCGACATTCACATTTACTCGCATTTGCATACAAGTTTACCAATTTTAAGTTTTTCATGATACAATGATACATATTATATGTTATTTTGGTTTTGGAGTGATATATGTGGATATATTACCTGTTAAGATTTTATATCACCCGAGCCGTTAGGCGAGTCCACATATATCACTCCAAAACCAAAATAATTATTGTATTACCCTTCCCCTGCCAAGTTTAGACGATTTTTTAAAAAATCATTGCTGTTTCAAATGAAACGTCGGAATAAGATTCCCTTTAGGGTACCTCTTCGTCACAACATGACGTCACATAAATACATGACATATTTTTCCCGTACCTATCGAATGTAAACAAGAGAAAAGGAGTAGTTTATATTGAACGCACTTTTTTGTAATTAATATCAAGCTTTCACAAGGTCATATTTGTTTTCGATACTGATGGTAATATGTATCATTACTCTACTTTGGTAAATATTTATCATTTGACAGTTAAAAAGTGCTTTTAAATCGGAATTTACACCGCGTGAAATCGAACCGTACGCGCATCACCTCAGCGCATGTTGTTTACAACGTTGGGCACCCAACGGGGAAATTTAGTGTGTATATTACCCGTCTGACTCGGTTATATCAATTTCTTTCGGGTGATCAATATCCAATCAAAAAGGCGGACAAAATCTGGAAGGGTAATAAACTAGTATACTGTATATATTGTACAGTATACATAATCATATCTCCTTTGTATCAGCTATTATGTTAACTTATGTTCCGAGTTGCAATTTTGATCTTTAAATTGTTATTTATTACATATTTTATACGCAAGGCAACTTGTTTTGTAAAAGTCGGTTATAAAGGTGTGTTCTGGTGTATAAAATAAGATAAACATAAAATCAGAGGTAAGACGAAAATGCTTGATAGGCTAGAGAGCGTTATTTGGAATATAAGTAAAATATAAGAGTAAAGCTATTAACACATCGCAATGTCTAACAAAACAGTGCCGTTAAATAGGTAAACAAGGGGCAACTAAATAGGTACAGGACAAAAACAATGCTTGCAGTCATTTAAATATATTTCTCATGAAGAATCAATGTTAATTTTTCTAATAGATTTGTATAATATCTAAGAAATATTTAGTTTTCAAACTTTAATGTCGACACTTAACTGAAACAGTATATAATATATAGTATTAATCATGTGTAAAAGTCGGATTTGATAGTTATTATTGAAAGAAAATTAAAAATTAAAATTTTAAGGTCCAGTTTAATTGACTATAATCTCGCGGAACAATCAAAGCTTACCCAAATGATGAGGGCATTGTCGGAAATAGTTTTAAACTTTCAAAATGTTTATTAGTTATGCACCACTATTTGTAATTCTTCTAGACATAATATATATGGATTAAAGCATGCATTACATTTTTTTACCAAAAAGAGTGAGGTCATGATACAACATTTAGAATAATTATCAGATGAAATGGTATATTTTCTAATCATATGAATCAAACCACTGACCAGCGATCTGTTCCTCTGTCAATTGATCGGCCTGAAATAGATAGGTATATCAGCAATTAACCCTTTACTTTGATTTATTTGTTACTAAATAATTTATTTTATAAATATTTGTATTTTTAGACAGAAGATTACCCTCGGCAACATCAAAAGGATTGAAACTTTCATGATTTCACTACGCGATATTGAAAACATAATTCTAGTAAGAGAAAATAAATCGTAATTCATTTTATGCACTGATCCAAATATTTCAAAAATGAGTAAACGCGTAGTTTACGGAATGCCGTTAGGGCCATTGCCTATGAATGTGTTGATCTGAAACGCGATAGTCGATAGTACGATGGTGAAAACGCGAAATCACGAAACTACGATGGTGAAAATGCGAAAGCACGATGATGAAAACGCGAAAGTACGATGATGAAAACGCGACAGTACGATACTACGATGATGAAAGCGCGATAAACTATCGTGTTTTCACCATCGTACTGTCGCGTTTTCACCATCGTAGTTTCGTGATTTCGCGTTTTCATCATCGTACTGTCGTGTTTTCATCATCGTACTATCGCGTTTTCACCATCGTACTATCGCGTTTTCACCATCGTACTATCGCGTTTTCATCATCGTACTGTCGTGTTTTCATCATCGTACTATCGCGTTTTCACCATCGTACTGTCGTGATTTCATTATCGTACTATCGCGTTTTCATCATCGTACTATCGCGTTTTCACCATCGTAGTTTCGTGATTTCGTGTTTTCACCATCGTACTATCGACTATCGCGTTTCAGATTAACACATTCATAGGCGATGGCCCTAACGGCATTCCGTAGTAGTTAGATATTGACTAAGAAAAACAATTCAATTATTTATAACTTGTAACATGTTTAAGAAATAGAGAAAGTAACAGATGTTGCATTGCCAAGTATATTGAACATAAACAAAAGTTGGTATACATTCAAACATGTTTTACATAAAGGGCAGTAGTATTCTTTATTGAACACACCCATTAAACGAATGATCTTCTTATCAAGGTTACATAGATAAAAATGATTTATAACATTAGACAATAAGACAGAGTGTTACGAGAAAATATAACACCTATTCATCAATGTGATATATAAGCTTTAATTTTAAACGATTCCAGACATTAGATGGCAGACTAGAAACGCTTACCATGATGGATTTAAGTAAATCTCCAAACAGATACAAACGAAACCTTTCCCTCCACGTTTACACCTATATATGTACCTGTGTGCCCTGAACCATACTGAATTAATCGTACAATGCGCAATGCGACATTATACATGAAGTATGTATTATTGTTCACTTCAACAGCTTGTAAATGTAGTGTTAACTTTCTTAAGGCAATCGATATCATTAACATTTCCTTGTTATATGATTAACGTCTAATGTAATTATGTTATTTATCTACACATTAAGGTGTTTAATTAAAATACAGACTTTCACTTTTTGATTTAGCAATGATCGGTGCAAGTTTAAACAAGCGAGAGTCAATTCAATTCAATTTAATTTATTTATTTATTCAGCATAATGAGAAAAGCATTGGAATGTATGAGCATTCATTAACAGTTATCATTTAATTGTGTAAAATTAAGTATGTCTACCAGTATCTGTACACACCGGCTTTTGAAATATCATTAAAAGAAAACTAAACCTAAGTAATATTCATACACATTAAGTTATTCATTAAACTCAGTTACCTTCATAAGCCGCGGTGTATTCAAATATTGTTGAAGCTATGCTACTTCAACAAAGTCACTGTATAGTAACAAAAATAATAACTCTCTTTTTTTCTAATTTGTTCACAAATACATACAAAATAAAGATTATTAAACATAGGATAACATTATAGTTTTTTTATTATTTATGTTTCATATTTTAGGAGTAACCTCCCTTATAGCAATGTGCACGTCTTTTAAAATACAATGGTGTAAATATGCAGCAAAACATAATGAAGCCTTACATTATGTCTATATCAACAAAGTTTGCTACATCTATGAAATTACTACTAAGAAGTTTGACAAGCACATTTTTTATCAGCCAAGAAGACATATTAAGCTAGTTTACATAACAAGCCAGGTTGACAGCAAGTTAATAGTGTTTGAAATTTCTGAATAGTTGGCCAATGGCAACAATATTGTGGAGACACTTATATTTGATGGTACGCCACAACGGGGTCAGACAAGTACGAAATGATAGTCATCTTTTATAACATTCATGTGACAAAAGATACATTCCCTATCAGCCCTAACAATGTTATGATAACGAACCATTTCGATTGCAAATTTATGAACAGACCACCGCAGTCGGTAATTGCTATTCTATGATCATTTACCTTTACACTCGATAAATATTTTTCAATATCAAAACTTTTTTTTTATAATTTTATAAGTAGTAAGTTTTGGCATAGTATCTAAAGTGTTAAAACTATTCTGACAAATTGCCTCTATATAGGCTTTCTATAGCTTTACTTATTCGGAGGTCAGTAACAAGTATACCATCAATCATATTATTCCATATGTAACTGGAACCCATCTCATCTAACAGTAGTTTAACACTAAGGGCCCATGAACCTTTAACAAAGTTCTTCTTATCATACATAAAGCATCTGTAAATAAATGTATCAGGAGATCTAACAACCTTGCACCAGTACTTAAGATAATTTTTTTTACATATCAAGAGGCACTTAACCAAGCTTACCACAGACAGTTGCATTCGTTGTTTGATACATTCAAAATTTGTTTCAAAAATTAATATCAATCTTTTCCATATCTGGTACTTTATGAAATCCCCAAATCTCGCAGCCATAATTCAAAATTTGAAGAATCATTGAACCAAATAAATAAGTGTTACACTAATACCAAGAGGTACAACATCAAATAAAGAATTTTAATTTAAACACAGCTTTTAAAGCTTTTTGAACACTTAAAATTTACCATTAGCAGACAAAACATGAAAAAGGTCGGTGATGATTGATTGAGAGTTTACGGAATTAAAAGATATGAAAATATGTGAATATTTACACGAGAAACAACTGTTTTATCACCCTAATTTATAAAAATTTTGAGGACGTTTCTTGTTAAAACTTAAGATGATAAAAACATATTTTATAGTCTGCTGTCGGTCTAAATTTTGAAACCAAGAATGAATTAATTTTTGATTTGGTTAACCGAGCATTATATTCTTCCGTTTAAGTGGTGTTCTTGTTAAATTTCATATTATTACAACAATTCCTCAGTTTTTTTTGCTTTGCATTAATGTCATTGTAAAATATCTTTCATCTTTGATTTTTTTGTGGTGTAAGCAGCATAGTATTGATCAAATTTGAAACATGAATTCTTCTTGTAAAATAAAATGTAATTAGACATAAAATCTTATTTAAGGTAATGGAAAAATAAAGTATATGAAACATATTGCAAAATAATGAAATAGCAAAAGGAATTTACAATTATTATGTACCATTCGGTGGCCAAAAATATACCATGCCAACAAAAAACAATATATGAATGAATGTTAAATGTACAAACAATTACCAATCTTAGAGTTTCTATGCTGACGTTTCTATCATAAAATGTCAAATAAATATTTTCGTGTATTTTCACACCTTAAAAACGAATATTATATTCTGGGGAAATTGCATAAAGTTTTACTCATAATTTAACAAATCAGCTGTATTTATTGGCGCTAAGGTAATATTGCATTAGAAAAACATGGTTCGTAACAATATACAAAAAGTATGAGGAATTTGTATGACCCACAAACATTTTATTTTTATGACGATATGTTTGTTTAATTCACATTTGCACGTTAGGTTTTGATGTATTTCTAAATCAATAGCATGTATTTGTGTTTCAGTAAGAAATGTCAAAAAGCGATGATAATGTTTTCGAAAATACAAGCAAGACATCTCTGGAATGAAATTGTCGAAAAGTAGTCCTCAGGTTTATTTCGTCATCATCATTTTTACAAATTCTGAAAAAGAAATGCATAAATTTTGCAAAAATTGATCTAAACTTTATACATATACTGTAAGTGATGCATTACATTTTATTTGCTTTTGTCGTAAAAGAAGTTACATTTACTTATAATGTATCAAATTGTATTTAGTTGTTTTAACTGTAACTCTGTGTTAGTTTATTTTTTATAAACAAATTTAAAATTTATACTAAAATGTCTAACGTCGGATGTCAATATTTACGATTTGGGAAATCAGATACAAATGCAAATTGAGCAAACAAGTTCTTGAAAGAATACGAATATGAAGTAAAATAATTATTTTTTATAAACTTTGATATCATGATATATATAATTTCCAAAAATAAAGTGATGACCTGTAATGTTTTTTTGTACAAAAAGTTATACACCGCCTTTTTAGTTTTTTTACATAATGATAGAATCATACCATCATAATTAACATGACCATCACCATCACCATCTGCTTCTCTAATCATTTCATCAACTTCTTCATCTGTAAGTTTTTCTCCTAGTTTAGTCATCACATTTCGTAGTTCAGATGCACTTATAAATCCGTTGCCATCTTTATCGAAGACACGGAAAGCGTCGCGAATTTCTTCTTCACTATCTGTATCCCTCAGTTTACGAGCCATCATATTGAGAAATTCAGCAAAGTCTATCGTTCCATTTCCTAAAATAATTAACTTATATTTTCATTGCAGTTATACTGTAGGTGTTTTTCAGTTTTGGGTTGAATTGATACGTTTTCTACGTTGTTAAGTACAGTATAATTGACACATGTACAGTTACTATACATAATTTTATGGTCACAAATTTAGAATTTTATTTTATCAACGACGAATACTGATAATGTGACGAAATAGTCATACAACATTACCATCAGCATCCACTTCATTGACCATTTCTTTTAAATCAGCTTCTGTGGGATTCTGTCCCAAGGACCTCATTACTGTTCCTAACTCTTTTGTTGTGATTGTGCCATCACCATCCTTGTCAAAAAGACTGAACGCCTCTTTGAATTCTGTAACAAAGTCAAAACATTACTTTGATACAATTTTACTTCAGTACACATTGAATTTGACAGAACTTTTTGTTAATCTTATATTCTAACACGACTCGCATTTTTCCCCATTGAACATAGAAGAACCGAAAGTGTGTGTTATTTTAGAAATAATATATCCCAAACAGTGATTTTATCGCTCAATAACATCACTGTTTGGAGTTCGGATGCGAGGAATTATATCACGAGGGCGTAGCCAATGTGATATAATGATGCGCATCTGAACGACAAACAGTGATGTTATTAAGCGATAAAATCACTGATTTGGATATATTATTTCGATTCTAACACGACATTAACAAATAAATGTTGCGGTACTTGATAGTTAAGCAAAATTGCGCCTGATTTGTTTCCGAACTTATTTTCAGCGTGTCGGATTTTTAGTAGTTACGTCACGTGTATAATGATTACGTCACATGTCTAAATATAGAACGTCAAACAGTGATTTTATAGCATAATAACACACACTTTGGTTCTTCTATGTTCAATAGGGAAAAATGCGCTTGTGTTAGAATTAATTAGACCCCTATAATGTTTTCCCATCTAATTGAAAGATCGAATTAGTTTGTCATGAAGGAGAAATTGTCATTTCAGACATAGCTCAAGCTTGTAAAGTACAAAGTTCGTCCATTTCAAGTAATAGTTTTATAAAGTTATATAGGTTTGCAATTTCTTTCGTCATATTACTCTTGTAAATAAAAAAGCATAAAGTTATACAAGTAACACTAGTCTATCAATAGTTTGCAAATATAATATATAGAATGCGTGTTTTACTTCTAGAATCATGCGCACTATAAAATCAACTGTTTTGATTAAACAAATAATTAATGAAGTGGTCAATGGAAATGCTAACATGGAAATCGTTGACAAAACAAGAATATTTACCAGCAATTTGATCCCCGGACAACTGATCTACCTGTAAAAAAGGTACGAATGTATTCTATATCAAAATAATTGTTTTTCAATATATATTCTCGTATATGGATATATTTAATGAAAAAATAATGAATATTTTTATACATAATTTAGAATAAATCAATAAAGATGGATGATCATTTCAAATGCATCCACATTTATATTAACTTATTAATTTTGACGAGAATTTAATCTAAACATGCTTCAAATGAAAGGACACATACTATTTTATGTAAGTGGGGGAAATATTCGCGCATGAAATATTAAGATGAATTGTAGATGCTGTTCAGCAAGCAAAATTAAGTGGTATTTGACAGTAAATATGTAGACAATAGATTCCATTACCTTATAACTATTTTGTAAAATGGTTTGTATTAGGACATATATATCTATTTAATATATTTATAAATATTATACTAATATCCTTTTTTTCATCGTGCACTTTGATGACCTGACTTACCATAATGACAAATATTTTATAATCCTTTGTATAAAATTAAACTATTTCCTACAGTGTTACACCTTCAATACGTGTATGCTTATGACAATATACTCCAGAATGTTTTGATCGAATGATAAAATGCGCAATGCGACAAAAGTATATGATCGTTACATCATTGTTAACATCAACAGCTTGTAAATGTTGAATAAAAGTTTTCTTAAGGACAATCAATATCGGTCGAAATCATTACTGTTTTTGTGTTACATGAACAACATATTATATAATCAAGCAACTGTTTCATATATAGTTTTATATATTAAATTCACTTGAATTAAAAGTAACTGACATGTCTGTTGCCAGTTTCGGCAATAATGAATAATTTCAGGTTCGATGCCGTTAATGAAAGGTAGTTGTAGAGAAACAAACACACATCATGTGAGTCACTGGGCCTACGGTCCGTATACACGTAAAGAGTTATAATGCAAATACACATATCCAGTGTGTCAGACTATTCGATTGATATGACCCTAGCACCATCTTTACCAAAATTCAACTATCATGTAATCTTCTTTTTGTGACACTTTCCAGGAGAAATACCAAATGGTCTAGAAGTGTAAGAATGTAAGTGCCTTAAGGTTACATATAGACAGTGAAAAATAGTGTGACGTTCATTTACATGTGTTACGATAAACCGGATAAAATGTGTATTATTTCACTACCCATCTAGGAAATGTTTTTAACTTCTCAAGATTTTGTAAAATTATTTAAACATTATTGAAACATATTATGTGACATAAATTTTCTGTTTAACATCGCAGTCAAAGATAAAATTGGGTAAACTGAAATGTTCATGAACATGCATTATCACGTGTTCTGACCTTTTTCAGAATGATAATTATTCTCGATTTCATATACATGTATTATAAATAATCTTGAGTTTTATATGAACTATTTCAACATCAATTAAATTGACCTCTTTTCTTGCTAATAAATATATTTCAACGTTTCTGATAACAATTATCTCAATATCGCAAAGGAAAATTATTATTTTTTATGTCTTTTTATGGCAATTTTGGCCACAAAGCTATAAAGGCATCTTTTGTGTTTTTGTCAAAAACTTTTTTATGTAATTTTATACTTTTTACCCTACCTCAAACTAACTCGGAATTGTCTATGAACTTTCAACGACATTTCTTTTTTATCATTGCAACGGACCGCGTCCAAAAAGGTGTATAACAGATTGAAAATTACAGAAGTTATTGAAACTTTGCATGACCTTAGCATATGATAATAGAAACATTTTAAGTCTAACAAGGGATGTTTTTGTTAGAATGCCGTCGGAAAGCTGATGCCTTGGACAGTATTGTCGTCTCCCTCAACCACCAACGAGCAAGAACAGGTTCCAGGAAGATTCTCAATGAAATGACGTCCACGATAAGACTACAACTGTGGACGCTGATAAATCTGGGACATATGGTTATTCCAGCGCCGAGTATAAACAAACCTATAAATACACATCAAATAAGATAAATATATTCATAATAGGTTTGATAGAAGAGATCTAATGTATTCAATATTTGAATTATACCAAATACCAAGTATTTCTATGAAGAAATAAATGAAAGTAAACTTAAAATAATTTATGTTGTCAATTCGAAAGCAAGACAGGAAGTGGACAGAGTTACTAGGAATTGTTATATTCCAGAACCAAATCAGCTTAAAATAACTTTCATACAAAATCAATCATCAATCACACAACTTGCGAAACCAGTTCAATCACCCATAACAAACAAACATGACCACATAACACCACAATAGATCTGGTATGGCCTTTAAGATAAAATACCGTAAACATTCTAAAAAGAGGACCCGTATTATTTTAACCTTAGCTACATAGAATACAAATGAATGACTTTAAAAAAGATGTTTTCACGTGCCATATCAAAGCGCGTTATTACAACTTTATTGAAACATATGCTTTGGTGTTTAAAGAAATATAATAACAATAACATATTTAACTTTTTAAAACATTCCTCTTGTACGTGTATTTATGTCTAATTTTAAATTTTAATGAAGAAATATTTTCCCAATTTTGTCAGAATGCTATATTTTAAAAACCGTCGTAACAAATACAGGTAATAAATAATAGGGAACTGATTTTAAAAATACTATCTTTGTTTGAACATATACTATTCTCTTGCCATGACAATTAACATAACAGTGACATTATACCTTAGTAATGAAGGCATTTTCGTTTTAGAAGGCAATAACATGTTTTATAATGTTGTAATAATAGATTTAGAGTATTTTAGTTGTCTTTCACCTGGACAGAATAGCTTTAGATGTAAAATTTATTTTGTTAAATATGAAGCAAAATGTAAACTAAGGGATTTTGCAGCGTTCATACAAAATACTCAATCATTTTAACTATACTAATTGTCAAAGTGCTTCGATGGCTAAAGATGACACTATATGCAAAATGAATACCATTTTGGAAACTGTAAAAGTACACAAAACTATTATAAAAAATGAAACTAGAAGTTTTAGCTTTCTTCGGGCTTATTTGGACTTTAACAAAAATAACGATAGTTGTACAGAGAGTAATTAACGGACATAATTATACAAATATATATACAAAATGGAGGAGCTCCAATGCTATGTTCTATACAATGCAAGTACAAAAAAACTGCCAAATTGAATATTAATCTAAAATGCACATATTACAATATTTCTAAAAATGTTAAAATTACTGATTACTGTACCTTCTAACAATTAATTTTAAAGATAATGAATGAAAAAAACAAATATACACTTCCTGTGTTGTTATCCAGCAGTTCATCATTATCAGTAGGATTTGATAGCTGAAATATTTGGGTTCAATTTGTAACATGACATTGACTGATTTTTAACGATTTGAACCATTTTAAGCACGTGTTAGTGTTTATCTTTATCTTTGTGTGTTAAGATTCAAAAACAATAGCGTTGTATATTTTACACATTTGACTATCGAACATATAAATAGAAAATAATGGTTGGTATACGAATTGATTTTGGATATTTAGTTATTAAAGGAGATAAAACCAGTATATGGTCTAAAAAAGAGAGACAAAAACACCATTCCTTAAGAAACTAGACCTATATCTGATATAAATAAAGGATTGTGTTTCAGCCCTCTCTCTTCGAAACATCTTTGATCTTTAAGATCATCTTTACATATAAAACGATTACATGCAGGCATTAGAATATTAAAACTTCCACGAGTTTATTCTATTGTTTCGTAATTTTGTATACCTGTACATTGCCTTAACCTTTCTTTAAGCATGTGATGTGGTCACATGTCTGATGTTATGCACCTTAATATATGTATGAATACATGTATGCATTACAATAAACAAAGAGTAAAAGTTTATTTAATCAGAGTGTATAATTGTAACATCTTTATCTTGCCGTCCACGACATTGGGACATCGGTTCACGTGCTAGATATTCTTCAAAGTGATTCAGTTTATGGGTGTTTATACTTATGATGCTTGTCTCATTGTTTAAGATTTCTTTCAAGTAGCAGATTGTGGAGATAATTTATTAGAAATGAAGACAGGTGAGACAGAAAGAGAGAAAACTCCTCTTCTGAAGGAGACGAATTCTTCTAATGGATCTAAATTCGGATACAAATACTTCTTACTTTTATTAGTAATGGTGTTTTTATACATCTCTGTAGGAATTACTTTTTACACTATATCCCAATGGATCCAGTATAAAGTCAGGAAGGAAATATTGCAGGGTATTGAAATAAACTCGACTTCTGTATGCGAGGGAACAAATCAAAGTGACCCTGTGTATGAAAAGTTTCAAACGGTTGAAAAGAAAACAGCATTTTGGCAAATGTTAAACCAGCTGGCATCAAGTATACCTGGGAGCTTAGCAGTTTTAATCATCCCATCGTTTTCTGACAGTTTAGGTAGAAAAGTTTTGTTTGTATTACCAACGACTACAATTTTGCTAAAAGAAGTAATTTACGCTTTGATAATATACTTTGAATGGGACATTTTGTGGGTAGTTTTGGCATCATTGTTCGAGGGAATATTTGGTTCATTCTACTTATTCAGGTCAGGAATGTATGCTTATATTGCAGACATAACAAAACCTGGCCGACATAGGACATTAGCACTGACAATTTTGGAAGGAAGTTTCTTAATTTTTATAACATTATCCGGACTAGCAGCAGGATATTTCATAGAGTTTGAAGGCTTCCTTGTGCCTATGATAACATGTGTTGGGCTTATTTTTTTTGCATGGTGCATTGTTATATTTGCACTGCCTGAAACTCACGAAAAACACAATAGAGCCAAAAAGATGCCTTTTGGTGATCATATGAAACGCATTACAGGTTTCTATAGGAGTAAACAATTTTCAAATAAACGTTCAGCCTATGTAATGTTATTATTAGCGTTTTTTATTGCGGAGCTCACAAGTAGTCATCGAACATCTTTAGAAATGCTTTATCAACTTGGAAAACCATTTTGCTGGCCTTCACAGAAAATCGGATTATTCAGCGCTGCAAGACATGCGACTGAAGGTTTTGCTGGCTTAGTACTAATTGCTCCACTAAAGAGTTGCTTTTCAGAAATTATTATTGCGATTCTGAGCTCAATGTTCAATGCAGGATCATATGTCCTCGAAGCATTTGCCGATACAGACCTAATATTGTATTTAGGTAAGTTCATTAAACACACTGTAATACATATTTTATCATCTGCTGTAGTCATCACAACTTTACATAAACTATGATATATGTAGTTGAAAATTGAAAAAACAAAAGCTGGGGTTTATAATATTCACATGTGAAGTATAAGAATATAACGACTATATACAATGTTACAAAGTTAATCTTATTTGTTTAATTATTAAATTAAGAAATGAAATTGGTATCAGCGGTGTTTATCGACTCTTTAACACCGGTTTGGAGTTTTGGTTCGTAGGAATTGATAAAAAAGGCCGTAGGTCCGAGTCGTTAATGTTTTTGCATCAAAACGCTCATATCGATGTCATTTCGATTCTAACAAGACTAAATATGGGAGGTTACTTCCGTTATTTTTATCATGTACGAAGTAAAGAAAGTAATACCATATGCATATTGATTAGATGAAAAGCATGTACGTTGTAATTTAACTATTCAAGTATGTTACTAATTAGAAATTTCGCCGACTATTATAAGAACCAGAAGTAATTATGTTACTTGTGAGCTTACGAGCAAATATCATAAATCATGAAAATATATCAACTTATACCACCAAAAGCATAGTTAAGTATGTCTCCCTTGTAAATGATCCATGTAGTGTTACTATGCCTAGACGCGTGTTTGATAATTTCAATAAGAATTATCAAGGAGTTCAAATCATTTGTATTTAGTAAGATAGGTAGCTTGTTAGAATTAGTTATAAATCATCAAATATACGTGGTATTATATATGAACTCGTGTTTTATTACAGTACCTATACCAGCTACATTTTCATTTCTCATGATTCCGATGATAAAAACTATGATGTCGTCAATGACACCGTCAGACAAACAAGGTAAATGAGTTGTGTACACTAACTTTATTCAATGTCGAAGCTCATTATTAATTTATATATTTAAAATAGAACACAACATGTTATAATATTATACCATTGATTGGTTTGCATGAGAACATTAATTTCTGAAGTGAGGAACGAATAAAGTAAAACTTAGTCATGTGTGTCAAAATGATAAAAAAAAATTATTTGGATAAAGTAAAAGAAACCAATTATTGTTCGTATTTTCATAATTAAGCAAACCATTTCTGTTCTAAACAATTCAAGCATTTGATTAATTCACACATTTGTCTTATTACAAGTAATGACTTTTAGGAAATATTATTGTTTTGTTTTCTGTTTTCAGGATCACTGTTTTCTGGTATTGTATTTGTAGAAGTTTTATGTTCAATAACTGCAACCTATCTATTCAACACCATCTACTCAGTAACTCTGTCGTTATTCCATGGTTTAGTGTTTCTTGTTCTCGCAGGTCTATGCATTCTGGTATTGATCGTATTAATGTAAGTAATTTATACTTTTTAATTCAACAAAAAAAAAAAAAAAAATAATTGTCATCTTATTTCCGAAAAAGGTCAAATTCATCAGGCGATGTAAGATGCATGGTTTTAAACCCTTATAATCACATTGCCATTTATATAAGGATGTCAATTCAGACAATATAATTAAACCTTTTTTTGTTACTTTTTTAAGAACTATTTCATCGAACATTATACTCATAAATTTAGAGTTTATCTCCATAATAAAACATTTATTATTTCAGATTGTTTGCAATGACACAAACTGTGGAGATAGCTCTTCCAAAACTTGAAAAGATTGTGACAAACTAAGACATTGCTGCACAGAAGTCTATCACATTCAAAACAATTTTTTGACCACATCTTAAATCTTTGAATCTATTCCTACCTTTAACTTTAGATAGTTTATGAGTTATTTATAACGCTGTATATATAGCATTTTGAGGTGAAAAGTTGAAAGGTAAAATTGAATATATAAAAGTTTAACAGGTTGATATTGTTTACAATTACTTTATGTAACGATAAAATTTAAGTGCATACAAACCAATACAGTGTTAATTCGGTTAGGATAAATTCAAGTTGATGATAAGAATAAAGGTAGTTGATACAAATATGTTGTTATGATTTTACCATGTTTATTCAACAAAGTGCATGCAATTTTCCTTTATGCAGAAACTGTTTCTGAAATTGATAAGAATGGCATTCATACATTGAATAAATGTTACATAAAATTACTTTTCCATATTATGTCGATATTACAGTATGCATTTGCACAATTATATTTGATAGTAAATATATAAATTCTATATCCACAATGAAATGTACAAACAAAAATGTAATTGTTAACTTACCTAAATTTTTTTATATTGAGCCATGTAGATAACGGAGATAAGCAGCTCTTATATACACCATTGAAAATTTCACTCATGCCTATCGAAAAGTGAAAAATTGGGCATTTTGTAGCAAATAAAACTTAATGGATGTACATTTTATCCTTTTATATTATAAACCATTTGAAAGTTAAATCTTTTATCTGTTGTGCATGTTAAGATATTGGTAATTTTTCATGCCTTTCACTTAGAAAAACATAGCAGAACATACCCACTAAGCCAGGTTTTTCGCCAGATGAATAGTTTTGTAACAAAAAATATATGTAGTTCTCTTTAAGAATGGATGTATCATTTATTTTAATGGGAACTGTAAATGTTTTTACTTGCAGCCATAGACCAATGTATCAGCTTTAAGAAAATGTATTATTTTACTGATTTTGATATCTGGTTAATAAGTTTTACTTGCTACAAGTTGTAAGTGGTATCTTAACTGGCTAGAAAGTTGCATATCTCTTTAATCTATGTCTCTGTAATCTATGTCTATGCCGATACAACAAAGATTTGAATCTCTACTTAATATATTTAATTGAATTATTGTACATTGAAACGTATGTTTATGAAAAATGTATACTTTACCATGTATTATACTTTTCTGTGCTATGTATTTTACCACCAAATTGTTTCTTGGCGATGAAGATGTACATGTTTTTGACAATAAAATTTTGACTTGAATTGACTTGATAAAATATTTACAGAAATGCCATTATATTTAAGTATTCCACGGACATCTATTTTCAACCATAATGTAGGTATAAAAATACAGGAAATTTTACTTTTAAGAGGAAAATAACTTGCCAGATGTGACAACTTGTGAACCACTTAAGCTAGTGAACTTTGTTACATAGGGACACATGTTGTTTGACACGTTATTTTCTTCTGTTACAAGGAATAGTGTATACATTTTAAATAAATGTTGTTTGACACGTTACATTTTAAATAAAAGTAGCATGACTTTACAACAATTAATTTGCGTTTGTTTGCACTTAAAAAAATCAAGTACACTGAAAATAGTCAATCGCTTTTAAAACATGATTTTGTATTGTTTATGATGATTTCTAGATTTGGGGGCTATTGATAAGTTTATGGACCTCAAAATCTGAATTATATACATGTATATACTTTTGTTGGACTATAATAATTGTTCTTTGTTTGATGCATGTGTAAGAATAAAATGTAATTATTAATATATTCGTCTGTTTTTTTCTTTCTGGTTTACACAGAATCTAGGAATTGTTCGTGCTGTTTTTAAAGAAGTATATATCAAAACAACAGAAGTAAAGTAATGTATTTGAACGTTGTATAATGCCCTTTAAAAGCCTGATATTTGCCTAAGGGTGCTTTAAACAGTTGAAAGAGGAATGTACTCTGTTGCATTTACATATATAGTAAATCAAGTCCTTTTAGGCTGACATTTGTCAAGAACCTGCATATAGTCAATTTCCGAAATCGATCGGTTTACTCTTCTGTCGTTACCAAGGCAACTAAGAAATAATTCCAATTGGCCCAACTTTTTTTAGAAATACTGTGCATATACCGTAATACAGGTCCATTCACCATATGTATAGCAAAAAAACAACAACAAAAAACCCCAAACAAACAAAAACACCCCCCTCCAAAAAAAAGCGTTATTGACAGTTGATAAACTGGCTACCGCATAGTTCAAACCTTTGAGAACATTTTTCGTTCCAAGTCATGTGAACAGAACTCTTAGCTTTGAAGGTAAAATCTTTAAAAAATACCCTTCAGCTTGACTATATTTTTTATGTGTGATTATCTCTTTTTTCCTAAAGTCACAAAAACAACATATTGTAGTAAAGTTTAGTTTTCCTAAATAAGAACCCATAGTTTTAACCTATCAAGAAGGTATGACAAATGTCATTTTAAGTATAGTAATGGTGCCAACTTCACAACAATTTTTACATTCTGTGCAGTCTGTTTTGTATGTTTAAAATCGTCTAACTGAAATTGTTTTACAAAGACCTTCTACTTTTCGTATTTAGGAGTGACACATACCCAGCCCATCTCTGTATTTCTGTACTTTGATATTATGTTGCGATTAACCCATTACGCGATATACACGCCTTTTAACGCCTTTTTCACCCCCCTTTTTGTTGTCTCAAATGGTGAAAAAATGCCTTATTCAGGCCCCAATACTTGTTTTTGTTTGAGAAATGTTGTTAAAAAAAGTGACCACTTTTTCGGCGCAGCCCCCCAACCAAAAGATACAGCAGGGGGTTGCCAGAAGGGGGATGCGCCCCCTTCTGTTTGGGGGGTTTGAAGGGGGGCGGAGTCCCCCTCCTCGCCAGGAAAATTTTGGACTTGTGAGACGCTATAAATGACCCCAGATTGATCATAAGGTAACGTGTAACTAGCGCTGAAAAGCATTTGACTCTATCTCAATCCATTGAGAAGTTGCAGCACTTTGAAATCAAGTTTGATGGAAAAAATCAACGCAAAATAGTGATTTTTTGGCAATTTTGAGATGTCCCCTTGTTGCCATGGTAACAGAAAATTTAAGCCTGATTATGTTGTTGCAAGGGCAATGGTCCAGTCAACATCTGTGCCAAGTTTGATTAGTGTTGAAGCAGTTTTTATCGTATTATAGCAATTTGAACTTATAACGTGAGACTTTTCAATGAAAACAGCCATATTTCACAAAATGCTCATGAAGTTATGGGTTAAGACATCTTATAACATTGCTTGTAAAGTGGTCTTAGGAAACTATTTTGTCTTAATATATACCAGTTATTAATATATGATACACGCCATACAAATTTGATAGTCAACCTATTTTACCATGACGTTGTCAACGACAGAAGAATGAAAAATGTATTGTAATCAATAATCTTTTTATTTCATTTTGGCATTTTAAAGACCTACTACCTTAATTTATTAGTTAAAACTAATCATAGTAATATTAAAAATGTAAATAAATATAAAACAGGCATATCATGTTGCTCGAGATTTAACCGGTGTGTTCATGGGTAAACAAAGTTAATATAATTTATAGAAGAATGAATTACTTCATGTAGATTATAATTGCTGATATACATATGTTGGTATTTTCCTGAATGACGGAAATTTATTTAATCTTTAGACGTTGGAGTTGTACAGTTTGAACATGCGCATTGAAGACAAAATAAATGTTGTTAAATTCAGTTGGTAGGACAAAATTTCTATATATTTTTACAATTTACAATTCTAATATTAGGTACAAAAGTGGCTAAAAGCGTATTAGAGAAGCTTCATATAATTCATCGCTCAACATCAAATGACACATATGATAAAAATGCTTGGCGTTGATTTTGTCTCTATCTACGAAGAAACTGGTCGCATTTACCAGAAGTGTTTGTTTTGCAACAACAGATGTGCAGAATGTTTTGTCCCGGTGTATCATAGTATTGTGAAAATTCTCTAATAGAAATCGTTGAAACATTCATTGCGACTAACGTGTTCACTCTTCTGTACAGTATCATTACATTTCGTTGGTTCTTTTGTGTCGATCATATCGGATATAAATACAGCTGCGACAGAAAATATTTTCACTCTTTGTCTGCAAGTGGCATCAGATTCAACAGAAAGGATCAGGTATTATGTATCTTAAAATTTTCCCTAAAAATGATGAATGTTTTTTTTCCAGATTGTAAGATGGCCCTGTCCATTTGAGATATTAAGCCTTGTAAAGGTTCAAAGCACATTCACATTGGTGTAAAACGATTTGCAGCTTAATACTTCACATAGTTTGAGGGTTATATTGTGTCTATCGGAACTTGTTCCGACTTTCACAGAACCTTGGATTATTCATCGCAGCAAGACACGTAACAGTTGGTTTTACTGGCTACGTACTAATTTCTCCACTCAAAAGTTGCTTTTCTGAAATAAGTACAATTTTCAACTCAAAGCATTTATCGAAAGAGACATCATTTCGTATTTAGGTATGACGATATTTATCATTATCTGATAACACGTGGTATTTCTAAATTCAACAATCTGCATGATAAATTCGAGACATTTATAATGTGTTTGGCTGTATTCTTTTATATCAATGCTTTATTGTATTGCATAATGCCTTGCAAAACTCCCATACTTTATATATTTGACATGCAAATCCAGAAAGGAATGAAATGAATTTTAAAGGCTTCAAACAAGATTGACTGTTCAATACACTGAATCTAGTATTTTATACATAATTTAATCAACACTATGAAGTTTTTAAAATTTTATATGTGTTTTGTTAGTAAATTATAATATAAACAAACTGTAAATGAAATATATGAAACTAATGTACATCTGTGTCTTTAGAAATATATGTAAAGCCTACTGTCTTTGTGGTCAATTACTACTCTTCAAAACTCAAAACCGTTAAAATAGCCGATAAACACCGCTGAAAACAGTATTATTTCTTAAATATTCATTCCTTATTACATAGAATTGCAGTATGTCGGAAGGGGAAAAACTGTCAGAGGATTGTACTGGCGAGCTTAATAATATTTTTCTCAGACGAGTTTCATAAAATTTTATACATTAAATCACAACTCATATCACATTTTGATCACATGACTAATTTTAAAGAAAACAATTCAAACAACACATATATGTAGACGTTTAACATATAACAAGAATGGATGTAATAAACGTGTGCGCCATATTACATATATTACACATAAAACCAGGGAAGTCATGAGACAAAACTATATGTATAATATTACTAAACAATTATTTCAATGTGATATTTGATATAGATGTAACACTAGCACAGGAGTGGATGTTCAATATATCACTCGCTATATTTAATATAAAACAAGGGAAGTCATGTGATTAAACTATATTATAATATACCTAAATAAATATTTCAATGTGGTATTTGATATAAATGTAACGCAAGCACACATATTAGAGACAGGTGGAAATGTCTAATTTTACATACCTACTTATTTGTTATTATGATATGAAAATGATCGAGACCCACAATATGCTCGGCTTAATCGTCTATTGATGTATGATAATGATGCGAGGACGAAGTATATCAAGTAATTTAATCATATAAATGAAAGCGTTGATGCATTTGACTTCAACTGCGTTTTATAAAACATAATGATATTGCACATATTAAGATTATCGATGTTAAATGCCCCTTTCAAGTTGTTGAATTCAAAAAATAATTCATAATTTATACATCTCATATTAGCAATCAATATACTCATTGCAAATAGTAAATTTCAATAAATTGTGTATTTGAATGTTATCTTTTTAGGGTTATGCGACCAGCATATTTAATTTTTAATTTGTCGCAATGCGTCACATATTTCAATAGCATCTATCAATTATATTCATTTCAATGTATATTAGATATTAAGTCATAACTGTCAAAAGGAGTAAGATTTTGTGTGTGTGCGTGTGTGTAAAAGTGGAAATCTCTTAAATATAACAAAAATGGTAAGTTAAATTCTTTCTTAAAATCATGTTATGAATTAAATAGTAGATACGCAGATTTTGTTGAAATTTGCAGTACAAAACTACAATAGAACTATACAAACTATTCCATCATAAAAGTGTTTTTTTTTTAATTTTTCTTCATAGCAATTTACACTGCTTCAGCTTTGACGTATTATTGGAGAAGGACCTCTTTCATTAAACTTTCAACCTGAAACCCTTATATAAAAGTGAAATAAACAGTCATGAATATTCAAAATACCATTTAGTTTACGGTTACAACCAACATTTTATATAATAATTTGACTTTATTCTCTGTCAAAGGTATCGTGGAACTACCTCAACACGCTGGTTCTTGGTTGCCAATAACGATTTGAGTTTTAGTTAGAATTATTTTGAACATTTCTTTGTCCTTCAATGAGTGTTACCATGTTACCTGTAAAAACGATAATATGCAAAATTATATATTGATGTAAAGAAAACAAGAACAATAAGAAGAATTAAGAATTAGCAACATCTTTGTGCATTTTGTTGTTTTTGTTTTAATTCAAAAAATATTTGAAACATTTGATAAATAGCAAGATTTCGTTTATTTATCAGGCTGACAAATTAACAGAAGAGCAAATTGCTGGTAAGATGTTTCTTTACCTTTACATTTCATTCACTTGGAATTATTTTTATTGCAACCATTCATATCAACGTTATAGACACGACACTTTAACACTTTAATTTAAAATAATCATTGAATCAAAGAAAACAATTGATGTAAAATAACTTATTTTTCATCTAATAAATTACGAAGCCAAAATGCGATCACACATTATAAGATAAATGTAAACACTTTTTTTGTTTTCGTGTAGAATTCAAGGAGGCGTTTAGTTTGTTTGACAAGGATGGTGATGGCACAATCACAACAAAAGAGTTGGGAACAGTAATGAGGTCCTTGGGGCAGAATCCTACAGAAGCAGAGTTACAAGACATGATTAATGAGGTGGATGCCGATGGTTGGTTTGGCTTGATTTCATACAATGTTAAAACAATTTCTAAATTAAGAATATAAAACATTATTATATTGCTTGTACCAAATAAAAGATCATATAAGGATATATCATATAATACGAACGTAGATGTATTTTCTTGTTGATATTTTTATTCATTTATTATGTTTGGTTAGATTTATCGTCGCGCAACATCGCAAAGGTCATATCGCGACTTTTCAGCTTTACTGGTGGATGAATACCTCATGTGCCCCTCCGTGCTTTATTTAGAGACGAACGGCACCTGAGAAGAACAACCGCGTTCTGTTAGCTAGCTTGATGGTTCCTTACATGAAAAAATAACCAAAATCCCTGACGGGTTTTGAAGCCACAGCGGTAAGGGGCAAATGGTTTGAAGTCACGACCTACACCACTCGGCAATTTAACCTTAATGTGATATATTGGCTAGTGCAATGAATATACTTATCATATTTGTTCTTCGTAATCTTATATATATAGTATTCAGTGAATGTTCAACTTTCATTCATAATTAAAAAAAGAAATATATTAACAGGAAGTGGTGCGATTGATTTCCCAGAATTCCTTACTATGATGTCACGTAAACTGAAGGATACAGACGATGACGAAGAAATATGCGAGGCGTTCCGAGTTTTTGATAAAGACGGTAACGGATTCATCAGTGCGGCTGAATTGAGACATGTAATGACTAATCTCGGAGAAAAACTTACAGATGAAGAAGTTGATGACATGATCAGAGAGGCTGACATTGATGGAGATGGCCAAGTCAACTATGAAGGTAATGTGAGTTTGATGACTGGATAAAGATATTTTTTCATTTATAATTCCCTTTATTTGCGTCAACAGAGACAATGAAATGTACAAAAACAACTTAAAATAAATAAATAGAATCAAAGTAAAACAACAACAATTAAAAAAGAAACAATGTTACACCTGAATAAATGATGCAACTGCGTGTATTTAAGTAACTCGGTGTTTTTTAATCTTTATTTTCAGAGTTTGTCGCCATGATGAGGGGGAAATAGCTATTCAACGTTTTCCTGAATTAGTTATAAATTTCTACAGTCTATAAAATTTAATATTTAAATGCTGTCCAAAAAGCAAAATGTACAAAACTTTTACAGATAAGCTACAGTTATTTGATTCACATACCGCGGGTACACTGGAATCATTATTGTACTAAATCTTTATATGTATGTGATTGGTTGTGACGCTTCATCGTTGTAGTTATAACTAACATATTTAATTTATATACATTTGTATAATATCGTGTTAAGTGAAAAAAAACATTCGCCTTTCTGTCCAATACATGTATTTCAACAAGAAGGCAATGGTGGCCAAAAATTGTCCACCTGGCCCTAAAATTGGGAAACAAGGAAATTCGGATAAATTGTACTAACGGGAAAATGAAAATTTTTAGTAAAAATTTAAGCATACTTTTTAAAAAGGGGTTTTACAAATGCCCTTTAAATTTTAAAGGAAATTAGTCAATTACTGTGGCTAAAATATTCAGTTTATAAAGAATTAGCACTTCTATCATATTGAAGTTCTGAGTTGTGGTCAACATTCACTCTTCCTAAATACAATATACAAATACAAACTGCATGTGGTTTGATAAAATGTTGTAATAATTGGAAAAATCATTTGAAATAATACATAAAAACCTTCATATCACATGGTTGTACTCTATGTGTTGCGTCTCAAGATTAGAATTCCATACACAGTGTCTGTAAAGCAGATGATCCAAATTATACAAAGAAACAAATTCTGTTTATATAGCGTTGAGTACTTTAAATTTGTTCCATAATGAATTGAATAAGCATAATGAGGTTCAATCCACCAACGATAAGACACGGGGAGATAAGTCACTGCTGGAAAATGTCTATATATACGGACTTTCAACAAAAATAATGTCGGTTTGCTAATTATAAATATAGAAAAAAACTGCAAATAAAAATACCCTGAAAGTAATTTAACATAAAAGTTATATATCAATAATGTTTTTCTTGTCAATTTCCCCCTTTCCCTTTATATATACATACTGCCTTCGTATGAATAAAGTTTATCTATCTTATCTATATAATTCAATATATGTGACACTTAGAGCGGGGCTAAATTCGACCCAAGGGTGGTGTTTTATATACAACTTCTGTAGAGGACTACAAGGTGATGTGCTACAAGCCAAATAACTATGCGATGGGTGTTATAGTTTCAGGGGAGAATGTGTTTATGTAATGTTTACTATATAGGTCTGTGTCACAGGGACAATGTTTTCATATTGTTTGCTCTGTATACAGTGATTTACAAGTTTATACAGTGATTTAAGAGAAAATTATTTCAAAAGCAGTATAGTAAGCTGCCCAAGTAAGTGATAAGTTATTTATCACAGTGAAACTAATAGCATTATCTCATTTTTTCTTGAGAAAACATTTGAAATAAGGCAATCATTTGAGTCAAACTAACCTATATTGCTGTGTATTGAAATAAATACAATGAAACTTTATCCACAAGTCATATGCATCTGTCATTTCTAAATAGTTCCCTAACTATAACATATTGATATAATTAATGAATACGTAAATAAGAACCAGGCTGAATGGAATGTAAGTGCTGGAAACTTTATCCATAAAAATTGTAGGAGGAACTACACACATCCACAAACGCTTTAAGAAATGACCGACTATAAATCAATTATTTGCAACCTTATAACAGGTAAAATTAGAACTTTAGTCCGTTTTGTGGTACTCTTGCAAATTTAACTGAAGAAAGTGCAAATGAAAGAAAACGAAGCCGTATTGACGGTGTGAACTCAGTTACATAATTAGGATTTCAGGTAATAGTAAAGAGACAAACTATGACAACTGGGCCCAGCAAGTATTTGTTAGAAATTTCCATGTTATAGATTTACCTGCAGTATATTCTAACAAGCATGAAGCTCGAATTTTAATACTGGTTAAAGAATACCAAACGCTTGGCAAGAGACCAATTGGATGACCTCAGTCTCTTTTAATAAGCGAACATAGATCTTAAGAGAACCACATTTGACCTTATAGAATCATTAGTGTTTGAAATTATCTTTTGTCCAATAGGATCGCAGTATTTCATATGAATCGTAAATTCGGTAAGTCGACAAATAGTAAATCGACTGTTTATAGAAATAATTTAAAACACTAAACCGGTTAAAATTTTATTAGTACGTATTTACAAAGTTAAATTTGTCACTCGGACTAATCAACTTTAACCTATACATGTTATTAATAAACGTAACTAAGTATTGAAGACATTGACGAGTTATTCTTACCATTAGTGAACTTGGTGGAAATGGAGATCTCTACCACGCATATGACAAAAAGGCATCATTTTGGACATGACATTGTATATCAGTATTGTCTAAAGACGGGAAAGCCGGCAAGATTATGGTGGAAAAACCGCGTCTGTGATTTTAAATGAATTCTCAGACGAGCAATATTGTATGACAGTGGAAGAGAAGAAAGGCAAATTAAAACAACCGCAACAAAATTGATCAAATCTGATATCTATTAACTGAAAATGACATATAGTAGTATCATCCAACTCCATTACATTTGTCATTTATTATTAAAAATATATATGATACATTTACTGTCAACCATAAATCCAGATAAAGAAGAATTGAAGTTTAATTTTATTAAACAAGCCATGATACGCAGAAGCGCATTGATATCTGTACAAATTGTGGTCTGTGTGGAAATGCACCACCATATCGGCTCAAAGTTCCTCTTTGATTTCTTGCATGAGCTCGAATGTAGTCGTTCTTTTTCAGAGACTTAGATATTTGACAGAAATGCTGCTGGTACTTTAAATACCATTCCATGTTTTTTTGTCGGAACTTTTGTACAATGCGTAGCAGATACTATTTATCACAATATCGAAACTATCGATGGACGCATTACTTTTCATAAAACAGGTATCATTGCCTGCATTGCAACTGGTTCACCTATTAGAACATCAAAAGCGAGAACTGATTTGTAAAAAGATCTGCGGAAGATCCTTAGATCAGAAAAAATTCAATGTCAAATACTTAAGATATCCAGACTATGAAATTGAAAATCTGATCTATTCTAAAATAACGTTAACGGAAAACACAGTGAAGACAAGAATTCTTTTTCTAAGGCGATATGGTCATGACACAAGAAGTGATTCTCATGGTCTGAATGCATGCAAGTCTACAACAATACTTGTGACAACCCCGGCACAGCTTAAATTGGCTTTGATCGATATGAGCGTTAGCGATGATATATGCATAGATTCAATCTTACAATTTGAACAATCTAAAATGTACAATATCACGCCAGTTATCACCTTTGACTAACATCATTTGTTTATCAGACAAATCCAGTAAATTATGTAGATGTACATGTAATACTTGTTTTTAACAACAGCGAAGTTTTAACACATTTTTCTTTACCAGTTTTTACAAAATAACTGTTTTCAATTTTTTAAATAATAGCAGTAAAATAAATGCCAAATCTGTTTTTAAGCAAGAAACGTATTATTAACACATTTTTATGTACATTTATAAACCTTTGGTATATATTTATCGTTTTGTAAAAAGACACAAACCTTTTGCGGTTTTAAGCGTGAAGTTGAGCCGGTGCTAGGAAGTGCGCGGATGGTCATGAAACGAAACTGTTGCTGCAAAACTGTTCATATTTGCTTGATTGCTTTTTTTAAGTTTTCAATTTTAAACATTTAATTATTTATTACATGTATCACCGAGTCTTTGTGTATTGGATAAACATTTCAATACATATTTATTAGATGCAAAGCCTGGACGTTAGGAATTTTAGTCTACAAGTGTATTTACAAACAAAGAAATGCCAAAAAACAACAATTATGTTCATTAATATGCAAAGTAAAAAAATATGTATTTTGTAGTTGTAATTTTGACAGAAAGATGTCGTCATTTGTAGTTTACACAGGATGGTAATTTATTTTTACATAACATACATGTATAATAATATTATCATTAGATCTGGTAAAGATATTAAAAATTTGTTTCAAATACATTCTGTACATTATCAAATAATGTATAAAAACATCACTGATGACGACTTGCATATATAAAATATGATAAACAAGATCAACAAAGAAAGGCGGCGTTCAATGAACGCAGCCCCCACGTGCACACAACCCAGCAACAAGGACCAGCGGCCAAGCAATTAAGTGTAAGGTTAACTTTTTTGTACATTTATGCAGTCTAAAATCATCTACACTGTGGAATGCTTGCTAACAAAACCTTTGAGTCGACACAAAAAAAAATCAAAACAAAGTTAGTCTAATTTGAAAATTTTGCATTGTAATTATTAATCAATATAAATACTCACCATCGTAATAGACAAACTGTTACAAACAAAATGAAAAAATAAAAGTTATACTCTAAAAATTGTATTTAAAAAAAAACGGTGGCAAAAATGCTCAAGTTAAGAATAAAGCAATGATTCGAACATCCAGATGATCCGGATGTCTTATCCCGATACCGGATGATACCTAATTTACAGACTGACAATGTATATTTAAACTACCATATTAACCCGGCAATTAAACTTAGTATGCCCTTCAACCTATTGAAAACAAATGACTGATATATTTCCTGTTTGTTAATACAATGAAAAGAAGGAAAATTATGGGTTTTATTCATTAGGAATATGATATGTTTATAAACAGTTTGTGTAATACTACAAACAATTTGAAAGGATAAACACGGTTGCGAAATTTCATAACTTATAAAAGGAATTTGAGGCTTAAGTGTGTAAATACGCGCGTTTTTACTAAAATTTCAACCTAAAATGGTATGTCTTATAACGTTTTTATTTCCTTTCAAGATGGCAAATGAATTTACTCTAGATCTAAAGCTGAAAATGCGATACTGATTTTAGTTTTATCTGTTTCATGACTCAATTATTTATTAACTTTACACTTCCTCTTTCTTTATTTTTAAAAAAGACTTAAATTTGCTCAAGAAAATTATTCTGGAACGTAATTATTCTGGAACGTTTTTAGATAATAAAGATATCATGTGCAAAATGTTTACACATGCTATCAATTTACTTACAATTGGTTTATTATTAAAAATAAACTTTATATTACGTTTAAAATCATAATCTTTTGCATGTTTTCAGGCTGATTTTACAGAGAGTCAAACTGCTGGTATGTCTTATTTTTTATTAAGACACTTTTATATACCACTACGTAAAAATTCCCTATGAATTCAAACAAAGCCTGTTATATTTCCCCGGCCCATGGCCGAAAACAAAAGGGTTATCGACCAGCATGGCATGCCAAATGTCTTATTTTTTATTAATATTTTAGGGATTAAGCGTATAGATAGACCCTACAACTTTGCTGATTAAAAAGATGAGTCTGGATCCACTTGTTACTATATAGTAACGAAAGTAACGAAATTGCCTATCTATCCCTCTTGTGATTTCAAAATAAAATAATCAAAGGTATAAATGTTGAAAGTACCTGCGGGATCTACCTTATGAAAATATGAATGTTCGAGAAGCAAACTGCCAAAAATAAAATTGATGGTATAAATTACTTGATATTATGAAAACGAGATGGTATTGCTAAACAATGGGCAGCCATTTCTAAATACCTTAGTTAAACCATTAATTTTCATGCTCCATTCTTACTACAAAATGGTTTCATTCACTGATTGTTTTACAGAATTCAAGGAGGCATTCAGATTGTTTGATAAGGATGGTGATGGCAAAATCACAACAAAAGAGTTGGGAACAGTAATGAAGTCTTTGGGACATAATCCTACAGAAGCAGAATTACAAGACATGATCAATGAGGTGGATGCCGATGGTTTGTTCATTATATAAACAGTAAAGTATGAAATCTTAATGTCGGAAGTTAATTCATGAATTTAAATGAATGATTATTGATTCATATATGCATATATTGAGTAAAACTTTAAGAATTAATGTTTGATAAGACACTATTATTCATTTTTTCAAGAGTTATTCCATGCCTTTATTTTAGGAAATGGAACAGTAGATTTTTCAGAATTCCTCACCATGATAGAAAAGACGATGAAAGAAGCTGACATTGATCAGAAAATACTCGATGCATTTCGAGAATTTGATAAAGATGGTAACGGTTTTATAAGTGCAGCTGAACTGAGACAGGTTATGACAAATCTTGGAGAAAAACTTACAGATGAAGAAGTTGATGAAATCATGAAAGAAGCCGACACCGATGGAGATGGTCAGATCAACTACAAAGGTAATGTTAGTTTGATCACTTGATAAAGATATTTGATAAACTATATTTTCATATATAATTCCTGTCATTGTGTTATCAAAGAAAATGCAAAGAACAAAATTATACCTGAATAAATGGTGCAAATATTTTAGTAACTGTAAGTTTTCTCATCTCTTTTTCAGAGTTTGCTGCCATGTTGAAGGAGAAATAGCTATTCAACGATTTCCTATTTCTACAATCTTTATATATCTAAAGCATTGTCGTTGTACTTAAAGTTATTTATGACACTCCGGATGTCAATTAAACAATTTTGAGCTGTATTACAATGCAGAATTATTTTATATATGTCTGTTAAAAATGTACAAATCTTTCCCTGAAAAAAAATGTTTAAGCACGCTATACAGTACATGTTAATTACTGTCACCCATGTACATTTGAGTCAGTATATTATTGAAATTTTGTTTATATTTCTGCTCGTTTTTATGCTACAAGCATAGTTATAGTTAACGCACAGCTTTATTGTATAATATAATTAAAGATCCTGTAACACATTTTTTCATGGTTTTATTTCATATATATGATGCTCAAATTAAGATTTGTCAATATTGTAAGTTTCAATAAGTATTATTTATAAAGCTATTACAGAATTTAACATTTCATGTAAATAAAGGGAGGTAATTAGAAATCTATTTTCTATAAATTCTAAGTTAAACTTTCCAATAAGAAATGAATGCATATAATTTATTGATTAAATATAATGTGCACAAATATTTGCAGTACACATTTTACATATTCTTCGATGTTTGAAACTTGTTTTATTTGCATAATTATATACATATATAATTTTTTTGCAAATGTGGTACACACACAATCACAAAACATACAGGATCATTTTGAATAAACCCAATGTGTTTCTGGTCTAGTATTTTAACAAGAGGGCAATGATGGCAAAGGAGTAGCTTGCAGAACATTGACACAGGGATAGGATAATTGTACTAACTGTAATACTGCCTTCTTAGTATTTTAGCACATCTTACATTATAGTAGTGCTACATATCTGTATTATTTTAGCTCTATGACAAGCTAAAAAAGATAGTCATATAAATGTTTACTAGCTTTAAAATCAATTTAACCTATTCATACAAATAGTTATTATATGAAGTTTTAGGTGACTATCAAAATCTTTGGACTTGTTTTATGTGATACTGTTATATCATATGACCAAAATTAAATTATTCATTTTGGTAAATTTTCAAAAATTTTCAATTTCTTTCTCCATGCACAAAATTCCCCTAAACAATCAGATGAAAGGCAAGTCTTCCTGCTTTCAGCTTTTGTATCTCTACTGGGTGTAGATGTTCATTACAATGCAAAGCAAAGTGTGTTTATTTTAAAGTGTCATCATCTGTAGTTTACACAGGATATTTAATTTATGTAACCTTGTTCTTATTGGTCTGTTAGAAGTCTAGATCTGGTATATAGATATTGACCAGGTTGAATTAAGTGATCCAGTTTGTTTACAAGAATATCACTAAGAGATTAGAGAATGTCTCTTTCTATTGACTTTCATGTGACTGCATCTTGACCAATTGTAACAAGGTGAAATTGTTACTGACATAATGCATACAATGTAGGATATTACAACAAATAATGCAACAGCCAATCATCTGGTTAACTAACTGGTAGAGCATTGCACTGTGAATCAGGAGATCAGGGTTCGATTCCATCACTTACATTGCGATTCATCATGAAATATTTCCTACGGTCATTTGCACTGTATCTCTGCTATGGTATGTACAGCAGTTGTCAGTTCTGGCAACAAGAAGGCAGACTGCCCAGGAATGATGCTGAACTTTCCTCTTGTTATTTCAAAGTGGCCTACTGCCTTGATAAAGTTTACTAACAACACCACAACAACAAATTGAACAATGCAAAAGCCACAATTCTTTCAATTTCTTTTACAAGAATATATTATCATACATATCAGAAACAAGAGCCATGTTAACATGGCCATCCGCCACCAAATTTGTTTGCTCATTTGAACAATGTATATGTAGCAGAGCAAAATAAAAGAGGACTTTTGGTAATGAAAACTGATTGCTGAAGTGATAACAGATTTGAAACCTATGTGAATACTGATGGCTGAAAATAACAACGGACAATTACTGAAAAATAATGCAGGGTAGGTTATCATTCTTGTGTGCTACACTCCTCCTCATTGATATCTATCCACTTATGAAGTTTCAAGTTGATACCTCTAACACTTTTTGACATAAGCTCCGGACAAAAAGTAAAAAAAAATAACGAAAGACAATAACTGAAAAATTATAAAGGGTAGAGTTACCATTCTTGCGCACAGCATTCCTCCTCAATAAGATAAATCCACCTATGAAGTTTCATGTTGACATCTCAAAGACTTTTTGAGCCATGCTCCACTCGGGTGAAAAATTAAGTTTGAAAAATAACAAAGGACAATAACTGAAAAATATGCAGGGTAGTGTTATCATTCTTATGCACTGCACTCTTCCTCAATATGATCTATCCACCTATGAAGTTTCAAGTTGATACCTCAAATACTTTTTGAGATATGCTCCCGACAAAAATGTGGGATGGAAGGACGGTTGAACGAAAGGAAGGACGGACGGACAGAGACTATTTCTTTATCCCACGCCGCCTTTTCGGCAGAGGATAATAAGCACTTACTTAAATGTAATTATAAATAATCACTTAGTACTTTTTTCTGCTTTATTCGAACACAGAATTGTAACAAGTAATCAAATATATTCTGTTACATTATCAAACATAATCAAAACATCTCTTAATTTGATATTTCAGAGAAAGGTTACACATTATACACAACAAATTATTTTCATGTACACATAAAACTATAATCAATTATGTCCGTTTTATTAGGTATCATCTTGATTTTCCTTTTTTCCTCAATTTCATCATTCTGATAACATAGACATGTAGAGCAGGCCACAGTAATGAGATATTCTTCTTGTACCATTCTCTGAAATATAGAATAGTTTACAATAAACTCTCTGAACACTAAGCAGTGAGGTTGACTTGCCTATGTTACTAACAGACTAAGATACAGAGGATATTGAATGAGTGTACTTAGATTAATACTGAATTTATTGAACGAGTTGAATAAAATCATATTATGCGAGCCTCTGGCGAGCATAATATAGTTTTATTCAACGAGTTCAATAAATTTAGTATTGAATCTGCACGAATATAATATTCTATTTATCACATATATAAAAATAAAAATGGTTAACAGTTGAAATGAGTCATTTTTCATTAACGCGTCTATAGTGTAACGCTAACATTAGCGCGCTTTAACGCTATGTTTGTACATAACGCAAATGACGTCATGTCAAAGTGTTATTACACTAGTGTAATATCATTTTTATTAAATGGCATTATTACATTACTGCACCGCAGGTTTTTGTGATAAAAGCTGTTATGTTCAATTACATATTTACAGTCTAACCAGACTCTGCACCGTTGAATGCTTGTCAACAAAAACTGATCCATATTAAAAAACAAAGTTAGTCTTTTTTGGAAATTATGAGTGGTATCTGTTAAAGAATAGAAACACTCATTTATCAAGCGTAGTAGACAAAATATTATGTACAACAAAATGAAACGTGCTACAAGAAGTTGTAATAAGACTTCTTAAGAACATTGAATACATTTATCTAAAACTTTTATATACAAATGTATTTATAAGGAACAGTTAGGTGCTTGTTGAAGTTAATCTGATATACACTGAAAAACACTTTAAACATAATACTTTTCAAAACTGTTTTCATAAAAATGGTTTTAAGATATCATTCTCAAAATTTCAACAAATGTTATCTGAAGTAGTTTGCCACATTTGTGCACATGATTTCTATAACATAATTCATCCATGTGGAATATGCATGCATTCAACTTTCTCTACATGGAAAGTGATCAGAGTGACATATTTGATTTGATTAAAATACAAGAGGGCCATGATGGCCCTGAGGTCTCTCACCTGTATAAAGGCACCCGGAGCGGGGCCAGTTTAAACCCCAGGGCTTTTATTTGAACAAACTTGGAAGACACCCATTAGAAGATGTTTCACGATGTTAAGTTTTTACTACACACATATAATGAAATGACACCCATAAGAAGATGTTTCATGCTAAACATCTAAGCTCTAGCTATTTGGGTTTTTTCAAAGAAGATTTTTAAGTTTTTGCTATACAAATATAAGGAAAATCAATAACACCCGGGGCGGGGCCAATTTTGACCCCAGGGCTTTTATTTGAACAAACTTGGTAGACAATTACTAGAACATGTTTCATGCTTAATATCTAAACTCTAGCTATTTGGGTTTTTTCAAAGAAGATTTTTAAGTTTTTGCTATACAAATATAAGGAAAATCAATAACACCCGGGGCAGGGCCAATTTTGACCCCAGGGCTTTTATTTGAACAAACTTGGTAGACACCAATTAGAACATGTTTCATGCTAAATATCTTAGCTCTAGCTCTTTGAGTTCTTTAAAAGAAGATTTTTTAAGTTTTTACTATATGCATATAGGGAAAATCAATGACCCCCTGGGGTGGGGCCAATTTTGACCCCAGGGCTTTTATTTGAACAAACTTTGTAGACACTCATTAGAAGATGTTTCATGCTAAATATCTTAGCTCTAGCTCTTTGGGTTCTTTAAAAGAAGATTTTTTAAGTTTTTACTATATGCATATAGGGAAAATCAAAGACCCCCTTGGGTGGGGCCAATTTTGACCCCAGGGCTTTTATTTGAACAAACTTGGTAGACACTCACTAGAAGATGTTTCATGCTAAATATCTTAGCTCTAGCTCTTTGGGTTCTTTAAAAGAAGATATTTTAAGTTTTTACGATATGCATATAAGGAAAATCAAAGACCCCCTGGGGCGGAACCAATTTTGACCCCAGAGCTTTTATTTGAACAAACTTGGTAGACACTCATTAGAAGATGTTTCATGCCAAATATCTAAGCTCTAGCTCTTAGGGTTTTTTAAGAGAAGATATTTAAAGTTTTTTCTTTCGGTTGCCATGGCAACCAGAGTTCTGCATGGAATTAATTCTTTGAACAATTTTTAAAGGTGACCACCAAAGGAACATTCCTGTGAAGTTTGGATGAAATTGGCTTAGTGGTTTATGAGGAGATGTCATTTAAAGTAAAAGTTTACGGATGGACGGACGCCGGACGGACGGACGCCGGACGAAAAGCGATCACAAAAGCTCACCCTGTCACTTTGTGACAGATGAGCTAAAATACTGTTTTACATTAGCAACAATGAAAATTATGATAAAGAAACATGGTCTTGGAAATGTAAAAAGATTCCAATGCAATTTTACATGCTCCCTTTGCTATCCAAAAACTTTAATGTTGGCTATTATTTTATTAATCTTAAATGAATTGTATTCATACCTTGACACAACAACCTATGGACAAGACCTTCAAGTAGACCAGACTTAACATGACCTTGACTAATAAATGACCTTGACCTTACAGGCCAAATGTTTGTCTTTTACTTGATTTTTGCTGTAAGTGGCTATAACTTTGTTACTTACGTAAGGATCGTCTTCATTCTTTCACACAACAATCATTTAGACAAGAATTAATAGACCAAATTAATAATGACCTTTGCTCATCAATGACCTTGATCTTGAAGTTCAAATTAATGAATTCTACTTGATTTTTGTTATAATTAGCTATAACTTACTTATTTATGACTGGAATATTTAATATTTGAACATTACAATTCTTGGATGACAACTTAAAGATGACTAATATGGTTTTGATCATCACTCATCAATGATATTTGAAATCCTTTGAATTTTGTTTAATTTGAAATTTGTTTAACTACAATAAGTAAGGGTATTTCAAATAGAATGAATTCTCACTTGTTATATTTGATGTGTGACTTGAAATTATCATCAAGAAATCTTTTGTAAAATTCTGACAGCTCTTCTGGAGTGAGTGATTTAATGCTTTCATCATTTTCTGTTTGTACCTTCTCTGCTAATCTTCGCTGAATAAATTCCTCCTTTTCCTACAAAGAAAATGTGACAATTGTTATATTAGAAATGACAGGTCCTGAATTGCTCACCTGAGATAATTTCTTGCTTGAAAAGACCACAAATTTTATTTTTCAATTAATTATGAAGTCAGTAATGAGGTCATATTTGATTAATCATTTTTCACTCTATTTTTGAGAAATGAACTCTATTGTTTTTTTTTGTTCTGTTGACAGTTAGATGGCTCCTATCCCTTTTCAGACATGCGGACAGACAAAGCACAATGCTATACCACCCTGGGTGTTACACACAACACTTCCTCTCATTATTGTGAACATTTGTACGCACACACCATGATTCCACTTTATTGAAGGACTATTACATGTATTAGAAATATTGCAAAAATTATACAAACTTTCTGAAAAAACCTGTGTAAATAACTTAGTTTACTTACTGTAAAGAATCCTTTATTATGTTCAGTCCAGAACTCATGATGCCATTCCTGTACAGCCTGTCTTTTCTCCCTGTACTTCTTCTCAGTGCTTGTCTCCCCTTCAGGAATATAAAATTCTACTGGACGTATATTAGAAATTTTATCTGGAGGACCAACCCAATCATTTTCTCTCTCCTGTGGTAGTGGTACTGCTGATTTGGAAGGATTCTGTAAATAAATAAGCAGACAGACATGATTGCCTCTAGATATCTCACCTGATTATTATACCTAGACAAGGTAATAATTTCTAAAATGCTTAAATATATCACAAGGTCATTTCACTCCAACTGATTCCCAGAATGCTTGAGAAGTTAAATGTATAAGATAATAACATTCAAATTACACATTTCAACTTTTAAACTGAGCCAAAGCATGTTAACAATAATTAGTATCAAAAGATGATCATCTATTCACAATCATAACATATGACATATAAGTGTGACCTTGACCTTTGAACTTTTATTTTGACATGTTATCATCATGTATAACACACTTAATGCCAAGTAATTTTACAATCCATCCAGGAATGACAGAATTGTTGACCGGAAATAACTATTAATGCCCCTACATGCAGCCAAAATTTCAGATGTTATAGTATTTAGTTCCTAATTTGTTTGCACAAACTATTTTTTTTTCATTTTAAGTTCAAAGCCCTTAAAACTATTCAATGTTAACACAAACTATTTTTGTACAAAGTTCAAGGCAGTGAAAATATTCAGTGTTAACCTTTTGTAAATTGCGTATTGCATATTTGTTGCCAAAATAATTACTACATACATTTCCACAAAAGTATGAGTGCTGAAACTAAAAATTCAAAATTTTTCCAACATTCAAAGGAGATAACTTTGTCCAAAATCATTGAACCACGACCAAATTCAAACTTAAACTGCTTATTCCTAAGATGTATCTACATGACAAATTTGAGTTGAATGTGTACAACCATTGGGAAGACAATGATAAAACTAAAAATTTCTGATTTTTTTCAAAGTTCAATAAGGATAACTTTGTCAGCTATCATCAAACCATGACCAAATTCGAACTTGACCAGTGTATTCTTATGACATATCCATATGTTAAATTTGAGTTGAATATGTACAACTGTAGGGGAGATAATGAACAGAAACTGAAAATTTCAAGGGGCAAAAATCATCGGACCATGAACTTGCCTTGTATTTTCTTATGATATATCCATATGTCAAATTTGAGTTGAGGACGGAACAAGGTAACACTATATGCCCTGGCCATTTTATGGCGGGGCATAAAAATTCATATCATGACTTTGGAATTCAAGTTGCAGTCACTTAGTGTGACCTTGACCTTTGAGCTGGAGACCTGATTCTTATAAGCTACAAGTAGTCATCATATACAACACACCTGTGCCAAGTAATTTTCAAATACAGCCAGGAATGACAAAAATCGGTGCACTTTTAAGAAATATTTTATATCATGACTACTTTAACAACTCTTTGGATCTACATGTGTGACCTTTGACCTAGGGACCTGATTCTTATGCAGGACAAATCATCATGATGTTCAACACATTATGCACAGAAATTTTTAAATCCATTAATGAATGACAAAAGTGTTGACCTGAACAGGACACAAACATCAATGCACCTTTATAAAAATTCAGATCTACAAGTGTGAACTTGACCTTTGAACTAGGGACCTGATTTTTACCCGCAACATATCGTCATTATGTTTAACACATTCATGCATCAATTAATTTCAAATAAATATAAAAATGACAGAATTGTGAATTAAACATGAAAATCAGTATATTTTTATGAAAAATTTCTTTTGAAGTGAACATGTTGTGACCTTGACCTTTAAGCTAGAGATCTGTTTCTTGTGAAGAACACATCATCTTAATGTGCTACAAATTTATACAGCATCTGTAATTGACAAAGTAATGGACCTGACACAAAAGTTGGGATAAAAGGACTGATGGATGTTGGGAAAAATATTAGCCTTTCCATACTAGGTGGTAGTCCAACTAAGCAAACTTGTCAAAGAGACATCGAGGTAATTTGTAAGAGTTTGACAGTATGGAAAAAAAGGTTTGTAAAATTGGTCAAACCGTTCACGCCAAATTAATAAGGCTAACTAGGGGGGGGGGGGGGGGGGGGTCACATCTCAGTTGTTTCTCAATTCTGTTTACTTCAAGATAAAATATTTATTTATTACTTGAAATTATTGTAATGACAGCTTGACAGCTTTAATTTCTCTACCATTTGATACCAAGATTTTTAAATTTCGTGAAAAGATGTTTGAATATGACTGACCCAAAGTCCAGCATGATGCTTGAGCATATATCAGTAGCAGCATCTGATATATACTCAATCATGAAAATATGGGTGCATGGAGATAAGTCTGGGTTAGTCAACTTAGTCTCAATATTTCGACGGCAAGACAGACCATTTTATAATCTGATATTTCATAGATGTCTGTCTTTACGAAGATGTCTGTCTTTACGAAGGGCGAAGCATCATCTATATAAAAAAAGCCCTAAAGCGCACATTTTGTTGGGGTACGTTACGATACCGAAATCAACTTGATTTCGGTAAAGTTACCGAAATCAACTTTTCATTACCGAAATCAACTCGTAAAAACCAGTTCATTATAATCTACATACAATGTATGTCAACTGTACCTCCTGTCTTAATTACTTCACACCTTACATAATACAGTAATACACAGCATGTCATATCGTACAGGTTACAACATTTCATAATTGAAATTTGTCAGCATAAAGTGTTCCATTTTTTTCATCATATAAATATATACCAGTCATTCCATAAATTTATGCTGTTTACAGATATGAAATTTAAAATGATTTTAAATCGATCAACATAAAATCATGACTTAACACTTTTTCAATAAGTAGAATATGTGGTGTACGGACATAATCCCCTTCGGACATAATCCCTTTCATGTATTTTTGTATAACCAGACATAATCCCCTTCATGGTTGGACATAATCCCCTTCATGTGTGAAATTTTGAAGTGGACAAAATCCCCTTCATAAAATTGCTACCTAGGACAAAATCCCCCTCAGAGGAATTTTTGTATTTGAAGTGGGTATGAGAGCGACATACTGCATTATGCTGTGTAGTAAATATCTTAATGTATTAATAAGTAGAAAATATTTCAGCAGAATAGCACATTCAATTAGCAACATTTAAATCACATTAAAATTGCTTTATTGATGCATTCATAACAATCAATCAAGTAGTGCAGTGATCTTGGTTTGATTAAATTATCACTCTTTCATCAATAGAAATTGTAACAATGGATAGTATTTTTCAATTAGAATTATCAACTTATACAATCAATGAAACAATTATTGGCTAATAAAAATGTTTTTCATACAAATCAATTTAAAACTATTAAAGAAATTGCCTAATCAAATATGTGTTATGCAGTTGATAATTTACCATAATTTTAATGAAAACTTCTAAACTAAATAAAAGTAACTATCGATACATAATCATAAATAAAAAAACAAAAGTTCATTATTCACCAATTTTTAGGGAGTATAATAATACATTATTCATCAATTTTTATGGAGCAAATAATATATTAGAAACCTATGAAAGAAGGGGATTTTGTCCGGGTAGTGAAGGGGATTTTGTCCAGCCTTGCAAAAAAATGAAGGGGATTATGTCCACCCATGAAGGGGATTTTGTCCGGGTAGGTGAAGGGGATTTTGTCTGAAGGGGATTATGTCTGACATTCAGAATATGTAGTTAAGTATCCGGGACATCAAAAAATTGCATACATTTTTGGAACAACTGATATGCAATTTGGTAATAATAATATTATTGAAGCACCTTGTCTCATATACCGAAATGTTTTCTACAGAAACGTTTAGCGACCACCCCTACAAATTAGTTAAAACCGGTCTTTTGACAATTTATTTAATATAAAATTATATTTTTACCAGCTTACTAGATCTGAAATATGTATAATATAGAACTATAAAAAAAAGTCTTTTGATATATATTATATAGGGATGGTCGCTATACGTCATTTTATATTAAACTGTAATGTATTTTCTGTCTTAATGGAGACAAGCAGCTTTAATTTCATGTAAAATAATTATGTCTAATTATGTTGTTTGGATACTTTAAAGTTTCCATGCGCCGATGTATATTAAAGGATTGCGGTTAACGAGTATGTTAATTATGTCAACTAACACCTCCATTGTCCGAGCACGTGTATGCTTGCTCCTTATTAGTAAAGGTGTTATGATGAATGGCTACCGCTACGTCTTTTTATTTTAATCAAATCATAATCATTGGATTTAAATTAAATACTGTGATAATTTCCAATCAACTATTTTAATAGTGATCTAAATTAGGCGGATAACTTCAAACACAGTTTTGTTTAATCTTGTATTTTGAAATCATTAAGAAACATCAAAGAGATGATAGGCTGCAATGTTATCTGACTAAACAATGAAAATAAGCGATATGAATTCAAAGTTTAAAACTCACTCAAATACCTTTTTCATAGACTTCTGAAATTCATGTAAATATTTTAGGTGTTGTTCTCATCTTTGAAATGAAATCTGATTTGATTTCGGTAATGCAACACATTAATACGGGGAAGTCAAAGACCGGGCCCGCGAAGCGGGTCCGGGCTTTGGCTTGCCCGGCTATAGACTACACGAAAATAAAATAAAAAACAATTAAAAATATATAGAATTCTATACCTATCAATGAAATTTTCAGTGTCAGTCCTAGTCGGGCGCCGCCATTTACAATGAAACTCAATGATAATAACGGAACAAATCTCAACTTTTCGGATAAATAATAATCGTCGAGTGTTCCGAGTGAAAACGGAAGCGGTGGATGTAATACCGAATGACACCTTTAAAACGGAAAGAATGAAAGGACTTCCCCGTTTATAGGCTTTGCCTTTGAATTTCATATTAACAAGGGAAGTAATCATGATATAATATACATATCCGTCTATAACATCATCATTTTTTATAATTAAATATTATTTTCCTATGTTTATGGTTCAGTTTGAATGATTTTATATTAATTAATTAAACAAGATCTATGAAAATGTTTATTTTAACTTTTACAAGCCGATTTCGGTATGGTAACATATATTTCGGTTCGTGACAAATCAGGGAATAATCTTGATATTTAGTTATTTGTTTCTAATATCATTATTAATGATTATTTCGAACTGAATTTTTGCATGAAAGTCAAACTTATCCTATTGTAATATATAATAATGAAAAAAATATAATAAAACGCTTAATTGTGATTTTATAAGTTGATTTCGGTAATGAAAAGTTGATTTCGGTATCGTAACGTACCGAATGAGTTGGGCTAAGTCTGGGTGTACATCACTACATGCATCAAAATAATAAAGATCACCATCATCCCGTCGCGTCATAATCAACTCAAGTGTGATTGCGCCGACGTACAATGTAGATGAGAAGCGTGCGTTACGCTTTTAACAATTTTCCACTTTATTGAACATTCAAGCATACCTGACTAAAATTCTTTCCTGATCCCGAATTAATCAAACACCTCAGAAAAGTTTGATTTTGCAAAGAAAAACATTTTTGACAGTTTAATCTTGATATGGGGGCTGCCATCTTGAATTGGTTCTTGGCTCCTTTTGCGTTATTGAAGAGTATCGTAAATGTACGCTAGGAACAAGTAAGTATTCATTTGGTATCTCTTTGCCTTCTCCATTACCTTAATCGCAGTCATGACTACTGGGACGCCAAATGTTATATCTTGATATGTCTATTTCATTTAATATATTGTAAAGGTAGATATCATTTATGAACTGCTCTCAGTCATTAGGAATTTATTATTGAGCACTGTCAAAATAGAAGTGTATAGAACTGTATAACAGCTGTAGTTCTAATACTAAACTGCTAAATTTAACAGTGAACTGTCATTTAACTTTGTGTTCATTTAGAGTCACAGTACCTGTGCTCGACCAGCCCAGTGCTCGACCAATACTTCTATTTGTGTATGATTTATGCATTAAAGTGGAAAAACCCTGGGAGTTTGTGCTTGCTCTTTGTACCTGACCTGTAACCTCTACACCATGTAAAAGTACTCCAAGTTTGGTAGAAGATTTACCATTTTGCAGACAATATTAAACAGTACAAAAATACAATTTTATAATAAAAGTAGCAGTAAAAACTATCTAAAACACTGAAATAATGATAATTTAGGGCAAATGTGGACAATATTTGTTAAATTGCCTTTACTTTTATGATTCGAATTGATTTCCATAGGAAAGGTGTTCAAAAATTATCAAAACCCTGCTTTACATAAAAGGCAGGGGCTATGAACATGTAAACAAATATGGCAGCTGTACGGAAACAAATCGAGAACACACCACTAAAAGCATGGACCATTTGTATATTACACCAATTATCACACTTAACTATGTTTGCAGAGTGATTTTAGTAAAAAAATATGAGAATAAATAATCCCAAACACCCCAGTATATTTAAATTCCAAAACTCTTATAAACACTTTATTTGTCATTGTATAGCATTTCCTTTGTATCATATTTGCTTTCATATTTTCATCTATAGACAATAAAACATAAATGTTTCAAAATATTTTTGAAATAGAATTGTTGAACATAAAAAGTCATATCTGTTTTTAAAAAATAAAAATTCTGATAGAGATAAAACCACCTGGTCGAGCACTGGTTTGGTTGCCTGAAAAATATAGTGGTTTTATACCCTATATACAACTTCGTGGTAAATTGTATCCTGATCTGTATAATTAAAAAGCTTGAGCTTATTGTGAGTTAGAAAGGGCCAGCTTTGTAACAAACATAAGTTTCCCAGCAAACTTTTTGTTCTGAAAGAGTTTTTATGTGATTTTGTGAAAAACTGGTTGAGCACTGGTACGGTGACTCTAAACACAAATGTCATTGTCCATTCTTGTGAATTTTTAATAGACAATATCTACTTCTTAAAATTAATTTCATATTATGACAAAATACCATATACAAAAATTACATGTAGAATAAGATGGCCCGATCATCATGCATCTTGATTATCTTGTCGTATCGTGAAGTATACAACTACTCAATTTGATAGAACATTTCTGATAGTACTTTCTTAGAGCTTTGGTCCCTGCTGCTATCACAGTAATCGCAACATGTGCAAATGTGGAGCCAAAAATCTATCTATCTTCCATTAATGTCAAACCCCTCACTTGAACGTAGACATAGCTCTAAACTTTAGACATGGCTATGAGATACAAGGGAATCTGTGAACCTAAGTCCCTAGCTCTTATTGAAAACACCTCTAGGTTCTTTTACATGCCCAGTGTATAGCATTGATACGTGTAAAGATTACCTGGATTTCTTACCAGTACACCTCTAGGCACTAGGTGGGAAACACTGAAAGTGTCTCTGAAAAATCCCAAAGGTGTTACCCCAGATCGAACCAGGGACCTCAGGAGTGACAGTCAATGGTCTAACCAACTGAGCTTTCATTATACAGTGCACTCCAGATACAACAAGATTGTCTGGACTTCACATGATTCCTCATTATAAGCGGGTCTCGTTATAACAGGGACAGAACAAATTGAGAAATCCGACACTTATTTCTACTTTCCCTTTCGTGTACATATTTTTTGACAAGTATATAATGGGAGGTAACTCTTCACTCAGAAGTTTTTGTTTCATTTAACTATACATGTATATGAATATATCTAGCTGTCATAGAATTTAAACAAAACATATGAAAACACAAACTATGTCCAAACGCACATGTTTTTATTAATATGTACTTTTTAAATTTCGTTTTCAAAAGTCATGCAGTGTATTTCTCATGAACACTGAATAACACTGCAAGAAAGTAGCCGCTTCCTTTGTGCTAATCACTCAATAAAATTGTTTTGTCATGACATTTCGTCGCCTAAAGGACAATTTAGCCTGGAGTGCTGACAAAACAAGGCTGACACATTTGATCGCCAATTGCTCAATAGTTTCTTCCTTTATTGTCCTTTGTCTTTGGTCACCATTGTTTTTCTCAAGGTGACAAACTGATGCAGTTGAAGTGTCAATGAAGAGACCTTGTTAAAATTTTAATAATTACGCATGGGACAGCGAATTTATGTACTTTGTCACTAATATCTCGCTAAAACAGCAATTTAGAATGAAAGGAAAATAGAAGGTGAAAGGCCGGGACACAGTAGAATGTACGTTATAAGCGGTACCTTGTTAAAACCAATCTCGTTGTAAGTGGAGTAGACTGTATATTTAATATGTATATAATATTATTAACAATGTGGTGATCAATTATTTTTTTCTCATATTGTCTTTTTTTAAAGATGAACATTCCTGTCCTTGCAAACTGCTCTGCTTTTTTTCAGCGAAATGATAAGCCTTATTATATTCATGCTATATTTTATTATATTTTAAGCTACAATGGATATACAATATGTGCACAGTCAGAGAGTTGCATTTACGCCAGCTCATGTACAGCTAGCATGTGATGGATTATATCTAGCATTACCTCTCACAAGATCAACTGTTGGAATATGGAGCCTACAGGATATCTCTTGTAAGGTAGCTATCATTTTATGGTAAATTCACCTCAGATCATTCTTGAAATATACCAGCTAGTAATTTTTCTTCAGAAATATATCAGTTTTTAAAAGAGATACTGATGAAAGTAGTTGTATAAAATGAGTCTTCTTTTCCTTGGCAATGACAAAGACAGTTTTTAGTTATATTCAGGTACTTGTAATATCAAATTTTTCCTATTATTTCATTCAGATTATTTTTTAACTTGAATTATTATAAATATTTTACAGCCGCTTGAGTTAGTTGGGCACAGTAAAATACTGAGAGCTCTTGCTCTTGGTAATTTATCAGTTCCCAAACAACTAGTATCAGCTGCTGAAGATTATGTTATCATATGGAATCTACAGCAAGCCAGGAGACAGTTTGAGAAAGGTATTTATATTGAACTATCTAATTTACCATTGGTTTTAATAAAGATATGAGCCTTGTCACAACAAAACCAACATAGTGCGTTTGCGACCAGCATGGATCAAGACCAGCCTGGGCATCCGCGCAGTCTGATCAGGGTCCATGCTATTCGCTATTAGTTTCTCTACTTGTAGTAGGGTTGGTAAGCGAACAGCATGGATCCTGATCAGACCGCTTGGATGAGCAGGCTGGTCTGGATCCATGCTGGTCGCAAACCCATTATGTTGGTTTTATCGTGATGCGGCTCATATATAATTTACATCTTTGATTTTTATTTTTTTGATTTATCACTGGAAATAAGATAAAAGTAAAATCCAGATAAATGTTGGTTGAGTATGTTCTCTTCATATTTTAGGTGAGAAGATAAAAGGTCGGGTGATTGGTACAACATTAGGATGTGTTCAGTATTGTTCTCTTAGTCCAAATGACTCTCTTGTAGCTGTGTGTGTAGACATTGACATTGTAATACTACAAGCTGCTGTAAGTTTTCTAGTCAGTGTCTATAAAAAACTGACAATAACCTTTTGACAAAATATATTGAATGATATCTAAATAGCATTTAATAAGTCATATAACAAATAATTTACTTTTACTATTAATTTATGAGATTCTGTTTACATAATTGAAGTAATCAATTTTTAATGACATTAAGTACTTTTTGAAGTACGAGTTGTCTCCCATAAAAACACAAAAATTGAAATTGTTTACACATATACATGTGCATGCTTTATATTAGGAAATACAGAATTTACAAGGTGTAAAATATAAAATATTAGCAAAATTTATATCATTAATGTAGTTACAACATGGCTTTTACCTTCTTGTCTTTGGGACTGAAGTTTGTCATTATCATGCGTGAGTGTATTAATAACATAGATAATCCATTCAGATCTGTACTATATCATTGAGGTGTATCTGTTTTGGTGTTAGAGTTGGTAATGGCAAGTAATTATGCCAGGTATTTATATCTAGAATTTGGTGTCCCTAAAATTAACAGTCAAGAGTTTGACTAATGTCCATTTCACAAAATCTTTCGAAACTAGAATAATTCTGGTTAAACTTTTTGTTGTCCTTGCCCATGAAATAGGAAGGCAGGTTGATGAAATATTGGATAGATATGTTTACATTGTTTGCAACATTTTAAATACATGTCATTTTCTTTATATATAGAGAGAGAATAAGATAGCAGTACTAGAAGGTCATAATGGTACAGTAACAGCAGCTGAATTTTGTCCTCACTATACGTCTACACTTGTTTCCATATCTGATGATCGTACATTCAAGGTATATATTATAATACATAATTCTTTTTTGTAAACATGATATGTTGTTGTGGCATTGTAATCTCAATCAGCATTAGATTAAACCATGTCCAAAAGGAGAGATATACACTCATTAAACACTCATAAAACATAGATGTAATCAGAATAGCTTTGTATTATATCATATTGATTTTGATTTACAACTGTAAATTAAAATTATGTAAGAACATTAATATTACTTAAATGTAAGCTGTTGTATGAGTCCATGATTTTGACTTGAATATTTTATGTAATTTTAAAGATTCATTACAAAGACCCAAGAGGTTTACTAAACTTAAGAAAGTTAAGATATTACCAACTTATTGCTGATAATATGTTTAACGTAGCAGATTGACACCAATGAGTGAGTGAAATCTACATAATAAGGAAACATATTTTGCCTTTTTTAAACTGAAAGTAGGATTTCTGACTCCTCATAAATAAATTGTCCCTCTTCAGATGTTTCTGAAAAAGTAATGAATATATGTATACATGTAGATCACCTTTCTGAGCTTATACATGGATATTTAGTTTACTTGCGTACGCTTAGTATGAAAACATGTTAACAATGAAAGTAGGACAAAAGACCTTTCAAGCTTCTTGTTAGAATTTTCATGACTCAGTAGCAGTTTACTCAGAAAGAAATGAACATGATATTTTTGAATAAAAAATTTTGAAGTAAAATGTAATAATTATTACTAACTTGATATCACTGATGGTAAAAGTTTATTTAAAGAAAAAGGACTTTTTGATAAATATAAAATGCACTATTGTTTTGAAGTGACTTTATTATTTACAATTTGTGATTTTGAGAAGATTAATCCTTTCCTTTTCTCAATGTCATATAAGAGTGCAAACATACTTCAATAACTTTGAATACAGTAACAACTTGATGTCTAATGAACGCTGTCAGTGAACTGATTTTTTGGTTAATTGGTGTGTTTATATCTGTTTATACACTTCTAGGCATAAATTCAATGCTAAATTATCAGTTTTCAATCAGAAAAAATAACAAAAGAAAATTTCTGTCATATGAATATATATTTTTAGGCAATTGAGAGATCACATGAATCAAATTCATACATAACATTCACCACATATATAAGTCATCTATTTCATATACAAGTGATCAAAGACAAATTCATACAAACATTGTATGAGAACACACTTATATTATGCATTTAAAACATTTATAACTCACATCATAACTTGTTTGAATGTCTATTTGTGAGCATAATGATTACTACAAGAGTAATATTTACCATAAAGCAATATCTAAATTTTTATAAAATACATATATTAATCAATATAATATATAATATAATGTAAACTATCAACATATTAATTGGGAGGGAAGGGTGGGAAAAATTTTCAATTATCAAAACATGTGATCTCTAAGTCGACGAAATACAGAATGACCAAAATGCCCAGGAAACAAATGGTCAAAAATATTTACCGCCAAAAACAGAAGCGACCAATAAAAAGATGTTTATGCTGACGTAAATCTACCGCCAAAAACAGAAGCGACCAATAAAAAGATGTTTATTGCTGACGTAAACCATAAACAAAAATCGACTAATGAAAAAACACTGAAAAGGTCAACTTCATTCAACCTTATAATTAAGTTATTTTTAAAACAAAATAATCCACATTAGGTAGGATCTTTTTAGATGCACTTTTTGCTATAAACTTGGTCATAGATCAGTGATATAAGATGAAATTACTTCAACAAAGAATTATATTTCAATAGGTATGGAACTTGGAAGATTTGACGCTTGTATATCAGTCACCTATATTGACACCATCACCATTTCTGAGTGTAGCAATGAATATACATGAACCTCGTGTTGCTATAGGAGCAGCAGATGGTGTGGTAATGTTTTGTTTTATTTATATTGTTTATAAAAACACATTTTATATCAGTTTGTAAATGCTTAATGAAAATTTCTAATTTAATTTTGTTAAATTTACAATATTTTTTATTTTATCATATTTCCAGTCCGTCTGAACCTCTACAGTCTGTATCTTGATTTCATCATGTTTATTATATATGTCCCTGCAAAGAGAAAACCCTGCAAACAAGTATTAACTTCTAGATATATAATTAAAACAAAAAGATGTTTTTTTTAGATTCGTGTTATAGACCTCACAGATGGTAATGGGTTTAGATGTTTACATCAGTTTGATGTTGGTAAAGTCATTGCTAAGGAGAAGGACGCTAAGTTTATGGAACAAAATGAAACCAAGAAAGGTATCAGTATCTTTTATCATCATAATTGGTGTCGATAATGTTTGATTCACATGATCAATTTCACATTTTCTTTAAATAATGATTTTAAGTCTATCATGTTACATAGGATATGAGTTGGATTTTAATGTGAAGATCAAAACATCCTTTTTTTTCTTGACTATATTATTAATCTCAAAAATGTTTTTTTTTTTAAACAAACATAATTAAGAGAATGATACATTGTATTAGTTTGATTTTTATACGCCCATTTGAAAAACGGGACGTATTATGGGAATGCCCCTGGCGGGCGGGTGGGCGGTCGGGCGGGCGGCGTCCAATTTTGTCCGGAGCATATCTCCTACATGTATGGAGGAATTTTAATGAAACTTCATAGAAATGTTCACCACTATGAGGAGCAGTGTCACGCACATGAACCAGGTCTCTAGGTCAAAGGTCAAAGTCACACTTAGAGCTCATTGAAAACTGCTTGTCCGGAGCAAAACTTCCACATGTATAGAGGGATTTCAATATTACTTGGCACAAATGTTCACCATTGTGAGGCGGAGTGTCGCGCGCAAGATTCAGGTCCTTGCGGCCAAGGTCAAGGTCACACATAGAGGTCAAAGTTCAGATAAAAATATGAAGATGTGTATATTGACCATTTAGTCATCATTTATTGAGGGATTGTAACACAAATGGTCATTATCAAGACTATGGCTGTGATACATATAATTTAGGTCAATATATACAAGGTCAAGGTCACTAAAGATGATGAAATATCCAGATTTTGTCCGGAGCATATCTCCTACAGGCATGGAGGGATTTTAATGAAATTTCATAGAAATGTTCACCATTATGAGAAGGGATTTCAATATAATTTGGCACAAATGTTCATCATTGTGAGGCTGAGTGCCGTGCATAAAATTCAGGTCCCTGCGACCAAGGTCAAGGTCACACATCCTGTGCATATCTTCCCTACTGTTTTGTTTTAAGGTTCATTTAACAACACAGTGCCAAGAATAAAAACTTGCTTGCTAGATAACACTTATCCATAATGCCCCCATCTTCATCTAAAGCTTTCGTAAACGGGCGTTTTTTGTGACTATGGCACCCTTGTTTTTGTGTGTATTCAAAATTCTCTATGGTTATATAAGCAAGCTATGTAAGCTTTTACTTGCAGAAAGATAGCTTTCTTGTATAAGATTTGCAAATGGTAATTTGTCTATGCCAATTTATGAGTCTGACATTCTTTGTTCTTGTAAAATTTACAAAGATTTACAAGATAACAGTGAAATACTGGTATAGAAATTAGATACACTGGTTAGAAAACTGCCTGTCTGTTTATGGTAGAGGTAATGTTTTAAATCAACACAAACAATTATAAAAAACAAAATCATAGTATATATATTGATGATTCAGGGCCTGTCACCATAAGTAGTAGACCAACATGGAAGCAGGGAGACCGGAACAATTCAGTGAGTGATGTACCTGACAACATTGATGACAGTGTAGAAGCTGGATCATCTGTACTCTGTTTATATTATACATATGTACATGAAGAGACCCTGGCTAGACAGGCAACTACAGTATCTAGAGATCTACCATTCCTCTCAAACAAAACTGATGTTGTAGGGTAAGCTGTTTATAGTTATATGTTTTATTTGTTGCATTATGTTTGTTTATTTTTTTATATTTTATTGCATTTTACATCGTAATCACAGTTTATGTCATATGGTGACTTTCCAGCTTTACTGGTGGAAGAAGACCTGGGGTGCCTCTATGTGCATTATTTCAGGCACAAACAGTTACCCGATTAGAACTTCAGACATTCTGTAAGCTAGCTGGATAGATGTATGTTTCATATATATTTATATTTATAAAAGCAAGACTTATTTCTGAAATAGAAGAAATGTCTGTTTATTGTCAAAGGATAATATAGAAATTGACTCTGTTAGTCTGTCTGTGCCTGTCTCTGTCTGTCTGTCTGTCTGTCCATTACACTTTGTGTCTGTTCCATAGCTCATAACTCAGCTATACATTAAGGAATTTTGTAATTACTTTGCACAAATATTTACTATAATAAGTACACATGTTATTCACAACACCCATACCTCTACTACCATTTATATGTCAAGATTAACATGGATTGTAATTCCTTGTCCAGAGTTTTAGAGAGATTCCAGTGAAACTTTAAATATAGATAAATAACAGTGAGATGGAGTGTATTGCAAGAGAACAATAATCCTATCCAAAATAATTATCAAATTATCTCCCTTAATGTGCATGTAATTCGTTTTAGTGATAAAAATTCAGAAAGTTTTCTGTTGATTTAATTTTATTTCCACAAAATATTTACTGTTGCATGTGCAAATCAGTCATTTATCAAGATTTTAAACTTTTATACATACCTAAAACTTTTGAAATAATTCAATTGTGTTTCATGTAAAACTTCTTTTGGTAGGGGATGTTGGTATCTCTGTTATAATTTTTTTAGCTACTCCACCTGTGTTCTTATCTTTCAGAGGCCATCCATATATTGATTTTAAAGTTCTAACACTTTTGTATAACTGTCACCTGCACTTGAAATATTGCTTCCAGACTATGAATACTTATTCCTGACTTTCACACGTTTCTAGGCATGAGTACATAACTGTCATGATTTTTGGACATTATTTTACCCTCTTTGACTGTTTTCACTGTACTTATTCAGGTACTGAAATTTGTTAAGTGAGATATGTATGGACAGTTATTGTTTCTTTAGGTAATTCAGTAAAGTTTACTCTCTGTTAATGTTACTTTGCCTGGTGTATTTATTATTTAAACCTTGGTTTCTTTCAGTGATTTATTGAAGACCTCTCCTATGTTGATGGTGGGTACAACAGCAGGCATGCTAGAGTTTAATGCTAGAACACTAGATATGGCTGGCTATGTTGACTTTCAAGGTATAGCTCTTTCTATTATTGTAAAATAAACTTACATGGACAAAAACTAGTACTTCCTTGATTTCTTGATGTGACTTACAAGTCAGTAAACATTTTCTCAAATTGATGCCAAATGTTTGATATTGTTTTTAATGTATCATGAATATATCACCTGTATTTGTGTGTGATCAATGTACTTCTCTACATGAAAGTATCTAAAGGTTAGAATAATAGTGCAGTTTGTTGACAATTGATTGTCTTATTATTGTAATAAATGAAAGCACACAAACAATAGTAAAAATAAAATGAAATGTATTATATATTTCTCTAACAAGGCAATCATATATGACTGATATTAAGACATTATTTATCAGATCCAGTAAGCTGTAAGGATAACTTGAATGCTGATACAAAGACATTGAATGCTGCTGGTACAATTATATTTGGTCAAAGTGCTGACAACAAGGTAACATGTTGTCTCATTTTGTTAATGTATTCATTCTATTTCTCAATCGTGGATGATCAGTTCAATCATATAATCTTGAGTTTTATACCAGGTACATGTAACATTACAACTAAAAGAGTGAGAACTGTCAAAATTTAAGCATTATCATTATGCATGACCTTTCACCTTTTCATATTGTTCAAGCTACTGATTTCTAAATAGGGCTTTACAGTACACATGTATATGTAAACAAATCAAAGTTGAAAGGGTTCAGCTGTTTGATTGAATGTTTCATTGCTTTATTTTATCAATGCTTCACATTTATATGGCATGGATATTATGGCTGCTCAGAAAATTATTTAACTGTTATGTTGATTAAGAAAGCATTTGGTTAGAATAAATAAGCATTGACAGTTCATGAGACTGGCATTGTTCAATTTGGAAATTTAATTATGTAAGTTTGAATAGCAAATCTCTTCTTTAAGTGATTTTTGGTTTTTATTTTGCATTATCTTACTTAGATATGGTGCATAGTAGGAAGTCCTTTCCAAAATGTTGTTCATATATTAAAATGGGGAAAGTCGGAAAGTAAATCTAGGAACCAGACACCAGTATCACGAAGTTCTGGGAACCAGACACCAGGGTCACAGAGTTCAAGTGATCTAACAGATATAGAGGACAGATTTTCAGCTATGGATCCCTCTTCAAGAGCTGAAAGTATACAGAAACAAATAGAAATAACAGTATTATCTAAGTATGCTTTATAATGATAATTAATATACCTGTATATAATATACTGTTTAAATACAACAAAGATCAATAACGATACATAAAATATAAGCCTTATTAATGAAATAACATTGAAATACTGACCAGTGATGGGTATCTCAGTAGGGCTGTAGGCAGACTGCTTCTGTCTTTAAAGAATTTCAACTATAGTTTAGAGCAATTTTTTTGTATATTTTATCTCATTTCCAAACAATAATTTTAATAATATCTTTTTTAAGAATAGAATAGTTCTAGCGTTATGCTGTATAGTTTTTCAGTTCCAGCTATAAATCTATTGTAATTCACCAAGATATTAAATAAAGTAGAATCTGACCAGTCTATGAAATATTGGTTAGACATTCTTTATGTCTATTTATATAAGTATAGAATTTCTGTTAATCTTTTAAAGATTCACACATATTAAGTTGATACAGGAAAACATACAACATATAAAATTATAATGTTCAGTTGTTAATGTGACTAATAGGAATATTCATGATACATTTATGATAGGTCAGCCTTACTGGATGATTCACCATTGAGAGCTGATATGACACCAAAGACTAAAGATACTAAAGATAAAGTCCCTAGAGGTAATAAAGTAAAGTCATTTACTTTATATGATTATAGTAAAGAGCTTTGTGCAGTATGGTTGTATCTTATTAGCTCACCTGTCACTTTGTGACAGGGTGAGCTTTTGTGATCGCTTTTCATCCGGCGTCCATCCTTCCTCCTTTAACTTTTATTTTAAATGACATCTCCTCATAAGCCACTTAGCCAATTTCATCCAAACTTGGCAGGAATTTTCCTTTGGTGGTCACCTTTGAAAATTGTTCAAAGAATTTAATTCCATGCAGAACTCTGGTTGCCATGGCAACCAAAAGAAAAAACTTTAAATATCTTCTTTTAGATAACCAAAAGAGCTAGAGCTTAGATATTTGGCATGAAACATCTTCTAGTGAGTGTCTACCAAGTTTGTTCAAATAAAAGCCCTGGGGGGTCAAAATTGGCCCTGCCCCAGGGGGTCATTGATTTTCCCTATATTGAATAGTAAAAACTTAAAAAAATCTTCTTGTAAAGAACCCGAAGAGCTAAAGCTAAGATATTTACCATGAAACATTTTCTAATGGGTGTCTACCAAGTTTGTTCAAATAAAAGCCCTAGGGTCAGAATTGGATCCGCCCCAGGGGGTCATTGATTTTCCCTATAAATATATAGTAAAAACTTAAAAAATCTTCTTTTAAAGAACCCAACATGCTAGAGCTAAGATATGTAGCATCAAACATGTTCTAATGGATGTCTACCAAGTTTGTTCAAATAAGAGCCCTGGGGTCAAGATTGGCCCCGCCCCGGGGGACATTGATTTTCCATATAAATATATAGCAAAAACTTAAAAATCTTCTCTGAAAAAACCCGAATAGCTAGAGTTTAGATATTAAGCATGAAACATCTTCTAGTAAGTGTCTACAAAGAGTGTTCAAATAAAAGCCCTGGGGTCAAAACTGACCCTGCCCCAGGGGTGTTATTGTTTTTAAATATATGTGTAAAGAAAAAACTTAAAAAAAATCTCCTTTTAAAAAACCCAACGAGCTAGACCTTAGATGTTTAGCATGAAACATCTTCTAATGGGTGTCTACCAAGTTTGTTCAAATAAAAGCTCTGGGGTTTAAACTGGCCCCGGGGGCCTTTATACAGGTGAGCGACTTCAGGGCTATCATGGCCCTCTTGTTCTATATCTATATAACACAGGAATTTCACTTTTCCTCTTGCATTGTGTAATGTTAAGTAAACCAAAGGTGTTAAGGTCTCTTTTTTTTTTGTTCAAATACCAGAAATATATTTTGTTTCCTTTTAGGAATATTTTTAAAGAAGTTTTTGTATTGCTGCTCATATATTCAGGCATTTTGTTTTTATTAGAAGCTATGTAAAAGTAAAATGAAATGTCCAAAGCTACTGTTGTCCCTATTTTCATGCCTCAGGAAAGGACAACAAATAGTCACTGCCTTGTCTGTCCTTCTAACCTGAACAATAGCTTCTTAGGTGGCTACGAGAATATAATATTAAATCATCATTGATGGTATTCATTCAGGAAAGGGTTTATGTGGATAAAAAAGTTTTATATATGGCTATCAGAAAAAAGGGAAAAACAATAGGGTAGCCACCTAGTTGTCATTTTTGTTAGAATGCCAATCTGTCTGTCCATCCACCATACTCTTGTCTTCAGAATAACTAGAAAGTGATGAAGGTTTTAAATTAAAACTTCACTACAGTTCTAGAAAATTAGTAAAAGGAAATATATTATCCAAATACCATAATGGTACCTTACTAAAGTTTAGAATGATCTCCCTTTGTGAAACTTATTAAAGGTCACTGAGGTCCAAATGCATAAAACCACAGAATTTGGATGGTTTAAATAGATCAGCTTCGCCACTTAAAACAGAAAGATAATTTAAAAATATACTCTGAAATAAATTGAAAATTGTATTTTCATGAAATTTTAGCCCAATTGTAGTGAAAAGCATTCTTTCACAAATTTTTATGTGTTTTCCACAATTAGGATAATTATTCTGGAAAAATTGAGTGAAAATATATTTGGCAAATGTGCAGATTCAGGGAACATTCATTTTTAGTGATATGTCTTGTTCTTGGTTTGTTTTCTTCTTTCTGGATAGTTTACATGCATTTGCTTTTATTATCAGATTTTGTAACTCCTCCAAAGAAAGGTGCTATATTAGATAAACAGCCCGTCACATTCAAGACAAAAATAAAATCATCTGGTTATACTGCAGCTCCAAGGTATTTATATTGTCAGTGTTCTTTTCACGACTTTATTTGTATAATTGGTTGGTCCTGCTTTCAGTTTAGAACTATCCATTGTTATTTGAAGGGTAATCATTATAATTAAAAATGATAGGCAGACTTCATGGTTATACAGGCAAGTGCTGCTAGTATTTAAGATATGTCCCCTTTTATGGTGAATTATTGTTAATCAATGTTGATAGAATTAAGTATTTGCTTCATGAATTATGTTTTTATTGACAAAGCAAGGAATTGATAGTTGCTTATTGTACAGTTACAAGTAGCAGATAATTGTCATTGATTCATTGGATTATCATATATTTTCCTTTAAGAATGACCATGTTTACACCATCAACAAACATTTCTGCAAAACCTAAAATACTGGCAAAATCAAGTACTAGGCAGACTCAGTAAGTATACATGTATCTTACATTAACATTAATTTTGATGAAACATATTTGATACATAATTATTGTAGAGATATAGTAAACATTTAGATTTTGTTCAATTTTGTATGTATGAATTTTTATTGCTGTATAATAGATACTAAGAATGTTATAGGGTATATTAATATAATATTTAGGTCAGCACGAGAGTACCCAGTACGTGGTAACCCTCCAGTAAATCTTAGTACAAAATTTGATGTTGCTGAGAGACCAACAGCTGTCAACACAATTACTGTTTCAGGTACTGTAGAATTCAAAAATATAATTGAGCCGCGTCACGACAAAACCAACATAATGCATCCGCGCAGTCTGATCAGGATCCATGCTGTTCGCTTACCAACCCTATTACAAGTAGCAAAACTGATAGCGTACAGCATGGATCCTGATCAGACTGTGCGGAAGCACAGGCTGGTCTGGATCCATGCTGATTGCGAACGCATTAAGTTGGTTTTGTCATGGCGCGGCCCATATGTATATGCTGAACTGTAAATTAAACCCCTTAGTTAACTTGATTACTGTCATGGATAGTGTAAAGTAGATTTTAACTCAATATTTCTTTAATGCTATTTTCCTGTCTACTCAGCCATTCTGTTGAATACTGCCTTTTAACTATATAAGTATTTGCTTTATCAATTGAGTTTGTTTTAAAGAAATTTGATTACATAGAATTTCTTTTTTGCATATTATTAGAACAACCTTGTTATAACTTTTTTATGATTTACAAGCTGTGCTTGGATATGAAATTATTGAAAATTGTAAAAGTTATTTGTAATTGTACAGATGGAGGTCAGAACCTAGCATGTGCTCTTGCCAATAAGTCAGCTCTTGTGTTCAGTGTTCCATTGTCAAATAAAGGTTCTACAGCTTATACAGGTAGCTATACGTATAATTATAAAATATGTAAATAATTAAAGGGGTACTTTAATAGCATATGATTATAATAAGATACATTTTGCATTTGTTTTCTTTTTTCACAGAAATACACACATAATTTATTATGCAGTAAATAAATTAGAAAACTCAATTATGTTTGTATAATATTTTCAATTGAAAAAAATATACACATGATTATAGATTCACTTTTGTTTCACTTATAACATTATATTCAAATGAAATAGTATCCCCAACTAAAGGCATTGTCATTGTCCATCCCACTTTTCATCCACCCTGGCTATGTAAAGTAAATAGGGGTCATCTTATTGTAATACAGAACAAAAGAGAACAATAAACTTCATATCATAAGAATAGAATCAGAGGCAATGGCCCTGTGTTTAGAAAACAATTGTAGTTAAGGAAATATCATTAAATCATTAAAGGATGGTATATGGCTAACCTTTGCTCAATTTTATGGCCATTGTAACAATTTTGTGGTATATAATACTAAGAAACTTTTATCAAGTGCTCTGTTATTTAGGACATAACCACATAGTGACCTGTGTAGACTGGAGTCATACTGGTTCCCGGCTTCTCACATGTTCTGATGATAAGACAGCATGTGTATGGATCAAAGGTCAATCAGATCCTGTAATGACCTTTGACAGAATGGTTAAAAACACAGCTAATACAGAGAGTAAAATTAACAAAAAGGTATGTTAAAAATGCTGATGGTGGTTTTGTTCCATATACAATACTCTTATTGCAGACACAAGGTGAAACATAGGATCATTATTAAGTAAACTTAACTACATCTAATTTTTCCTTCTTTTAGAAAAACCTTATATGATGATGATTAACAACAACAACACCATAATCATCAACAACATCATCATCATGATCATCATCAACACCATCATCATCATCAACATCATCATAATCATCATCATCATCAACATCATCATAATCATCATCATTATCATCATCATTATCATCTTTGTCAACATTACTATTATATATGATAAGAATAGCTTTCTTTTTCATGGATGCTGATTAAAAGTTTTTCAAAAAATTATTTACAAATTGAAATATATATGAAAATTTATAACAATCTAATTATTCTGTTTTCTACTTCTAAATATAAGTATTTAAACAGATGAATAGGTTTCAAATTTATTGTGTTTGAAAAAAATGTTATAGCAATAGTTATTTATTTTACAGGATAACAAAGCCTATAGTAAAGAAGTGCACTTTGGACAGTTTTATTTTATGGATAAATTTATTTTACTGTGTGTTGGAAACCAACTTCTCATGTATAAATATTATATAGATACCAACAAAAATGATATACAAAGGTAAGTGTATGATTTAGTCTTAACAATTCTAATTTCAGTTACTATTTATGAAGTAATTGTCTTATTTGAAAAAAAAAGCTTCAGTTGTTTCCAAAGTTATGTACATAAAAGCTACTATTTTGCAAATAAAAAAAATGATTTAACTTCATAATTTTAGTCATAAAAGTTTTTAAAGTCATTCTTTACAAGAGCTTTATAAATGATAAGATTGTTAATTTATATTCTTATTTGTAACAATGGTATAAACAAACTTGATATTTAAAAATGCTAGCCAGAATAGATTATGTATTAATGAAGTAATGTATGGTAACAGGTATTTAGCTCAGGGTAAATATAAGCTGGTACAAGAATGGGGAGTAGAGTCACAACAGGTGACATCCATGTCAGCCATTAACAGTTTCCTCTCTTGTATCCTTCTATACTGTATAAATTATGTACTGCAAGAATGGGCAGTTTCTTGTTCACATGAGATGTTGATATACTTTCATGTTGCCTGGAATATTCAGATCATATGTTATACAAAGATTGAAGTAGTGCAAATAATCAACAAATATAACTACATTATATATTGGTATATATTTTTGTAATTTTGCATATTTTATTATAGTCTGATCTATACATACATATACAATTAAAACAATATACATACAGTAAATTGTATAGCCATTCTTTTAAGAATTATAACATACTCTTCTAGTTTATAAAAGGGGCAACTCCACAGTCCATATTACAGAAATCTACTGTAGATTTACCTCCATTATTTACATAATTATTCACATTTACATGTCAATATAAACACATCATGATTAATATCTCTAAGACGTTTACAAGTAAAACAGCATATATATTTTTGTAATTTTGCATATACATGTATGTATGTTTGTGTAAATATCTACCTGACTTTAAAATTTAGTTCAGTGAACCTATACTCAATTACAGCCTCTTTAAGACAATTTGGCACCAGTTGTATTGCAAAGGTGCACTTATTCTTTGTCCATAAGAAATCATTAAATAAGGAATAGTAATGTAGGGTGAAATTCAGTCAATACTTGTTTCTAAAATAATATAGTGTCAATGAAATAATATGATTCATGTGACATTACTATGTACATAGTAATCTTATTTAAATGTTAAAACTTAATGAAAGAATGATTTATTTAATGATGTTAAATAAGATTATTTGAAAATAATCATATAGGATTTCTGTTGATTAAAAAGATTCCTTGACACATGTACATCAGATATTGTATTATGTGCATGCAGTAACAAGAGTATAGAGGTATTTGATTTGAACACTGGACAAATGGTGAGAAAAATGACAGATGTTCATTCAAGACCTGTACATGCATTATGTCAAAATGAGGTATCATTTACATTTTATATTGCATTTCTTTTTTCCCCTTCACTTAGTTTTGTGTTCTAGTTTTTGTCTTATTACCTTACAGTTTGAAAATGATATACCTATATCAGAACTGTAGGTTAAGTGCGAACTAAGTTTTCTTGTCTTTTAATTGTCACCTCAAACAAAATACATGTATTTTTGACCTTACTGAATGTACAATGTGTGGAAAACATCACAGCTAAGGTCAAATGTCAAGACAAATATATGTCCTCATTATAAAGTCTATACTCCTTCAAACATTAAGTTTGCTAAAATATTCACCTTCAAAAATAATAACAAATCAACCTATCTAAAATCCTCTGTCTTAGAGATGGTTGATGTATTCATTTTTCGTGCGACAGCTCTAGTTTATTATTGTAAATCTTTATTGGTCTTTCATGGCATTCTTGTTTTATCATTTATTCTGTATTCTAGCATTGATTTTGCTTTTCTGTAAACAAATCTTATTATGCAAATTTGGCGCAAATGTAGTATAAGGCATGATTTATCCTGATAGATAACATATTTGTTGCTTGAAGGTGAATATCATACTTGAGGTTATTCGCTCCTTTTTTCAAGAATAAAAGGTGGAGGCATTGTCATGATCCGCTCGTAGGTGCTGGCGTCAGCATCAGTGTTGGCTAACCTTTTTGGTTAAGTTTTCGTTAACGATTATTAACTTAAATACAAGTAAAGCCATAACATTGAAACTTCATATGTGGACACATCTGGATGAGTTAGAATTTTTTTTTGCCCTGAAAAACCTTTTTGTGAAGGTTAACTTCTCAAATACTATCAAAGATATTCACTTTACTTGTTTGCTATAAAAATTGGATTGCATTTCCAAGAGACAGATAACCCTTAAGGGTCAGTTATCTTTCTTTTTATTTTTTTTTTATATTTTTTTCATAATTTTCTCAAAAACCATCACAAATATTCACTTCAGACTGGAAATACTTGTTGAATATCAAGGCAACAATTACTGCCAAACAGTATCAAAATACTGCCCACTTTTCTACAAGTTAATGAGTTGTTTGATATGTTGAAGAAAAACACCCTCATATTGATAAATTTGAAAAAAGTGTATGAACATGAAATATATCTGTTTGGTTTTGAAAAAAAAGAATTATGCTGTAGTGTTTTGGACATTATTGAATTGTTTGATTAATATATATGAATATATGATGATTGTTTTTTCAAATGTATTTTATAATATAGGGATCACAATTTGTATCTCATCCATCAAGTGCCTATGATTTGTTTGCCTCGGCTGCAGCAGGTGACTGTATCAAACTGTGGGATCTTAGAACTAACAGGTACATTAAACTATTATGTTTTCTTTATAGCAAATGTCATTTCTAATATTTCAATGTTCTTAAAGATCTTGCCTCTTCCCATTTGCTTAAAAGAGTTAAAAATGTATTGCTGATATATTTCTTTTTATGTTACATTTTGTGTGTGAAAAAAGTCAATAACTGGGTCAAAGAGAAATTTCAAGATATTTAAATTGTCATTAGACTTTAACACATTGTATTGAAGGTCCCATGTGATTCTAAATATATATTAGAGTGATGGTTATTTTTAGATAGTTTGGTATGGTACTTGATAATATGTGTTTTTAACATTGACAATATTATTGCCAATATGAAAATGTTGTAAATATTTCAGATGTGTAAGGAGATATGAAGGTCATTTAAACAGAGTTCACCCATGTGGTTTATCATTTAGTCCTTGTGGAAGATTTATTGCTACAGGGTCAGAAGATAAATGTGTAAGTAATACAACTGCTTTTATATATCATGTACTTTTTATATGCCCGAAAGGGCATATTATGTTATACCCCCTGGCGTCCGTCTGTCTGTCCGTCCGTCCGTTAGCAATTTGGTTTCCGGAGCATAACTTAAGTTCCATTTGGCCCACAATGTTAAAACTTCATAGGATGATTGTCCATATTGGGTAGAAGACCCCTATTGATTTTGGGGTCAAAAGGTCAAAGGTCAAGGTCACTATTACCTTAAAACTGAAAACGGTTTCCGGAGCATAACTTAAGTTCCATTCGACCCACAATGTTCAAACTTCATAGGATGATTGTCCATATTGGGAAGAAGACCCCTATTGATTTTGGGGTCACAAGGTCAAAGGTCAAGGTCACTATGACCTTGATACTGAAAACAGTTTCCAGAGCATAACTTAAGTTCCATTCGACCCACAATGTTCAAACTTCATAGGATGATTGTCCGTATTGGGAAGAAGACCCCTATTGATCTTGGGGTCACAAGGTCAAAGGTCAAGGTCACTATGACCTTGATACTGAAAACAGTTTCCGGAGCATAACTTAAGTTCCAATTGGCCCACAATGTTCAAACTACATAGGATGATTGTCCATATTGGGTAGAAGACCCCTATTGATTTTGGGGTCAAAAGGTCAAAGGTCAAGGTCACTATTACCTTATAACTGAAAACAGTTTCCAGGGCATAACTTAAGTTCCATTCGACCCACAATGTTCAAACTTCATAGGATGATTGTCCATATTGGGTAGAAGACCCCTATTGATTTTGGGGTCACAAGGTCAAAGGTGAAGGTCACTATTACATTGATACTGAAAAATATGTTTTCACGCATAACTTAAGTTCCATTTGACCCACAATGTTCAAACTTCATAGGATGATTGTCCATATTGGGTAGAAGACCCCTGTTGATTTGGGGTCAAAAGGTCAAAGGTGAAGGTCACTATTACCTTGATACTGAAAACAGTTGCCGGAGCATATGTTAAGTTCCATTTGGCCCACAATGTTCAAACTTCATAGGATGATTGTCCATATTGGGTAGAAGACCCCTATTGATTTTGGGGTCAAAAGGTCAACGGTTAAGGTCATCCTTACTACGAAAAAAAAATACTTTCGGGCATATAATGCTCCGCCTAGCGGTGCTCTTGTTTGTGCATTGTTTTGCTAGTTTGATTTTTTTTAAAGAATTGTCTAATATCATTTGATTTGAAACAATTATTTCAAAACTGAATTTGAATTGAACAAGTATTTACTATAGTTTTTACTTTTTCACAGTCTTAGTCTAAGATATTGTTTTAAACTTACAGAATAACATAAATTGGAACAAAACATAACATATGTTAAGATATTAATAATGTAGATTTAAATATATCGATCATAACATTCATTTCAGTAGAGGATATTACAAGAATAGATTTTATCAATATGGATACCATAATTGTTATTTATTTTATGTCTAATTTCAGAGTTATATATTTGACATGAGATCAGGGACATTTTTACATAAATTACAAGGTCACACTGATGTTGTGTCTGATGTAGCATTTCATCCTTCAACTCCACAGGTGACTTATTTTGTCATTAAAACATTTATTGATCAGTATTGTCTGTCATTATTTGACAAGCTACTTTATTACACTCGTTCATATTGCTTACACACAAAAATGTTCATATGTTTTATTACACTATGAACTTTATCTTCCTCTTAAATTATAATATTTTCGTTGTTTCCCTGTAATTTGATGATTTTTACATTAATATAAATAATGTTGATTACAATTATATTGCTTTTATTTTCAGCTTTACACATGTAGTTTAGATGGCAAGTTAAACCAATACACCAACAGATGATAACAAATTCAAGTTTTAGTCTTTGTACTTTTGTGCTCTCCTGAAAAATCTAGTCCTTGCAACAATGTCAAAGACGATTAAAGTAGTCAATGTGAACAAGTATTGTTCATGTCTGGCGAAAAAGTCCTGTTCTTGTACTTGAGCAGATATACAGGCCAGGAAAGGTTGTTACATATCTTTGAGCTTCCAGATATAATTGACTGTAATCCGCCTGAAAGGAAGATGGATTGTGGGATTTACAACACTCATGATTTAAACATGAGAAGAAATCAACGCTGATTTACATAGCAGAGAATATATGAATACATTGTGAGAATGCATATCGTCAGAACATGAACTATGTTATATTGATATCTAATATCAAGTAAACAAACTATAAACTCTTGGTGTCTATCGTTTTCAGAAAGAATCTCATGGTATCAAAGATGATATTGTGGTGATTACAATGTGCATATTTTATTACATTCACATAAAACTAGCTCTACATGATGTGTTTCAAAGTAATATGCTTTGTGTTCTTCACTTAAAATTCAATACTACATTACTCATTTATCGGTAATAAAATGATGAAGTGTCCCGATCATTACAGAAACTTCATGCAGAATGTGTGTATCTCTTTAGATAAGTTTAATGTTTCTTGATGCTGACTTAATTCAATATAATTGTTTGTCATTTTATGTTAAAAGGCAAACTATTTTCAGATTGCTTACATTGTACATGCTATTCAGATTGAAAGTTAATTGCACATGTTCACAAATGCTTCATTTCAAATGAAAGTAAAATGATTTTTGTTATGTTTTTTGATTGTTGAAAAAACAAATGAGTAAAAAAATAAAAATGTCATGGACCCAACTGTTCCTTTGTTTTTTTATTCATTTTATCTAAAATAGCTACATTGATTTCCTAAATAACGGTCAACTTGGCCTTGACCTAGAAAATTTTGTCCGACCAATAATTACAACATTTTAGCCTACAATTCTAAGATTTTGTGCGGAGGTTGGTCATGATTGGGAGACGGTCCTTATTGCTTTTAAGGGCAATTGAGTAGAGAAAACGTCTTGGACCACAGTCTTAAGATTAACCATGGATGTTAGTCATGGTTAATAAACGACCCTTTTTGAATTTGCGATCAGTTGACCAAAATTAAAAATCTATGTGGTTTTTAGCCCATATATACTGTGCTCCTCTTAGTTCACGGTACTTAACGCTTTGAAGCAAGAAAGAAAACAACACATGAAACTTATGGTACAAAAATTGTCATAACCTGTAACATATAGGTATTTTCTGCTGTATGGCACAAGGAAACAATATATTTAGTCAAAATCAGTTTAAATGAGCCAGACGTAGACCATATGTCGGCTATTTTAAAAACAGTATGTCATCATTTTAATCGCGGTAATGGTGTTTTATTTCAGTTTTTTCATGTTTCAATTAAAATTTCTTCATGTTATTTTGCATAATTTTAAATGTTAAAAGTATCTACATTGTAACTCTAAAATTTTTTTCCAACAAACAAGAACATTTAGAAAACGGATTGTTTTTTGTTTTGCAGAAGTTTGTAAAATGTTGTTCTGTTTTACGTTCAAATTTATAGATTTAAAATATTTTGCACAAAAACTTTGACCAATTCTGACCAATTTTAACACTGGTCACATGACAATATGCCATTACCGTGAAATAAGTGATGACGCAGAATTAGTGATGTTGAGTATAAATGCATATTGTGTATAAGTGAATCATGACTAGTCGACGGCCCCTATCAATTTTCATGTCACAGGTCAAGGTCAGTGTTTAAATTGGTCATGACTAGTAGACGATCCCAAATATTTTTAGTTAAGTTGGTTAAAGGTCAAGGTCACTTTGGTTTTTACCTAAACAATTGTATTAACGCGCTTAGAAATATGGACAAGCTATCACGGCCATAGTGACCCCGTAAACAGTCCCGTAAAAAAAAGATAAATGGTTCTATGTAACATGACATATTGACTTCTTGGTTTCCTTTAGGGGACATACTCGTCACAAACATAACATGTTCAAAAGCTGAATGGAACATTTATACAGTAGATGTCCAGCTATCATGTAGAAACATTCAAAACCACAGAATATATTCTGAATCAACAAACTGATCTGTCAATCAACTCCCAAAATGTAATGTAATGTCCCAATTAAACCAGTACTCTTTTATACCCCATCTTATGTAGCTTATCTTTAAAGGAAAAGATTAAAAAAATTACTTAGTTTGAAGTTTTGATACGAAGATTTCAATCCAGATAAAGCAACCGAGGTCAATAAGGACCTGTTGCATATTTCATTTTCTCTTTTATATGAACGAACAAAATTCAATTCTGCAAAAGTTAAATAAGATCAAATATTTGTTGCAATGTAGTTCTGACTGAATAAACTGACTGTGTTTTTTTATGATTTCCGGCCAGCTTACATGTATAGACAAGCAGGATTTTACTGCATTAAATATGCTCAGAATATGAGGTCTGATAAGAAATATTAGATGTGTTATTTACTTTTACTATTATTTGTTAAATTGTTTCTAAATCAATGTGTTCATTTTAATAATTTAATGTGATGTTTGCTGTATGTTACGAAAAATGTCTGTGCGAATACTGTATTATTCCTGCGTTTTCGTGATTTTCTAGGTAATTCACGAATTGTCCACAGTTTTGTTGCTTAGTAAATACGATTCATTTACATGCAGAGGCAAGGGGTCGCTTTAGGGATGTATTTATAAGAATAAATAAAGATCGTGTCAACGAAATAATTTTTTTTTTCATCATTGCAAATATCTAAGTCGTTTCGATTGAAAGAAATTCTTTAAATGTCATTAATTTTATTTTGTGAGGATTTTATCAAACATGAAATTAATTATTTGGAAGAGAAATAAGATACTGCTAATAATGATAATTATAATAATAAAATAAATGATAATGGATAACAAGCATTGTCACTCATATATTTTATATTACATTTTGAAAATGTCAAGGCCGGGCAAGTTATTGTAAAATTGTGCGTTTCTTATTTGTTTCCGCAAACGATATTATGTGACAAACCTTATTTATCATATTGTGATTGTTTACAATATAACCTGGTTAGGCATTGATTATTTTTATTGTTATGAAAATAATGAGATTTGGTCAATTTTGACCAAAACGGAAAATTGCGTGTACTTGTCAATAAAGTCTAGAATATTATCTCAATGGAGAATAGGGATTATATTTGGCTTTCTCTGCCAACATGATTGCCAAATGTTCACGTACGTCAATCAAATAGAGATTTAGAGACATCATGAACAATGATATGTTGTAAAATAGTGCAAGGAAAAACGATTATTTTACACAAGCAATGAAATCTGTCACTATTTTATTTGCTTTTGAAGTTGATTATATATGACATTAATGACATTGCGACTACAAGAAAAAAAGTATAATAAGTAAACATCAGGAGTCAAATGATGTGTAATATTGTATCGTCATACTAAAGATGAAGGCATCATTTAGAAAGAATAATTCAGACATCAGCAAACAGACATAGACAATGATAGAACCTTAAAGAGTAAGAGTAAATAATTGACTGTAATTGACTCCACCAGAAAGGAAGATGGATTGTGGGTTATATAACACTAATAATTTAATCATAACAGCAGATAGAATATTGTTAACATTCATGAGAATCAAAAACTATACTGCTTTTATTCCTATAAGAAGAGGTGAAACAATGAAGTCTTTTATAAACAGATTTGTCCCAACATAATTTTAAGTTCTTTTTCGAAAATACTTATATCGAATTTTTCATGTAACTAAGATATTTGAAATACTATTATACAATGTAGTTCATTTAATAAACTTATTGTTTGTGTTATTAAAGGTCGTCTTTTGGAGATGTGAATATGCTTCACTGTTTTATTTCAGACAATCTTGTATGTGAAACCTACAACGTATAGATGTCTTTTCAATATTTAGATACATCGGATTTATGTTTATAATTGCGATCTATGTCTTCGCTGAAAATCAAGATGAATCGTTTCTATATTGGTTTGGTAGCGTGTATTGATCTATATCATTACAAGATAGTAAAATCGAATGACCCAGACATTTATCACCACAAAACATACATCAACCTTCTCTTGTCTTTTTATTTGGGATATAAAGATATAATATGTAACTCTTTAAATCTGATATAAAGATTAAAAAAATCAATAAAATCGCACTGACAGACCTAATGCAGTGTTAACTTCAATCGGCATTCAAATGTAAGTCAACTTTTAATCTAGAAATGCATTGTTTCAAAGAAATATTCTGTTAACTAAATAAGTTACAGGGTTTTAAATGGGCATTTAAGTCACAATACATGTAAATATGACAAGGGATACGTAGTTATAGATGATTGTTTTAAAACTTTAGTTTATACAAATTCATTTTAGTTCGAATGTGTTGGAAGCTATAAGCTTATTGAGACACTCTCGAAACCGTTCCTGGAACCAACCAGTACTAAGCAATCAATGTAAAGTTATTTGCTTAAGGAAACAACGGCTTGCCCTTGACAGAGTTTGAACCCACGCGGTGAGCAATCCTAAGATTACTAGTCCGACGCGTTAACCACTCGGCCACGCCGCCACTCATTGAAACTTTAGATACTATGGAAATATTATTAAAACATATTCTGTTATTAATGTATTTACGCACTGTCATACAGCATGGTTATTAAACGTTACTCTAGTAGGCATCAGGTCGAAGAACTCACTAAAATGGTCGTTGTAAATTTGTTTCTTTGAAAGCTGATAGAAGATGGAGATTGGCGCTACGTTAATTAGCTTGTCTAATGGAAAGTTTTGTTTTACTTTGAAGAAGAAATCGAAAGCTTAAACCATTTGTTCTCTCTTTGTACCATATGTACTGTGTTTAGAGTGGGTGATAAATAATAAAACGTCTCTCTGAATCTACTACTGGTGCTTGTAATAAAGCGTGAAAACAAGTTATCGTCAAAGGCTGCTGAGAAAAATCACGGCAAGCATTTCCTCGTTCAATGACAACACTTTGTTGCACAATAAAATACTTAATTGAAACTTTTCAGTTTGGAAGGCTTGCGTTCATTGAACGCCACCTTTCCTTGTTAATCATGTTTTTCAAATTTTTTACTCTCAAGACCTATGTGACTTATTCCTTTCCCTTAAAAAAAATTCTTGGTATTTTGTAGATGCTAGTTTTCTAGAATTTTTAGGATATACCATTTGAGGACCATAAAAAGTACATTTGCAATGTATTTGAAGATTTAAACTTTGTTTACAGGCAACACAGAAGTGTTTTATTTTGTTGCGTATATAGTAAATGATTGATTGTTAATTGTCACGAAAGAAAGAAGTTGTATTAATTTTGATATCTAGAAAACCACTCATATCTGCTGGCGAGGAACTTATAAAAAGCTGAAAAAGGTTGATACATCAGAAGCATTAATCATAACAAAATAACATAAAAAATGCAGATACGGTTTGATGAGAGATAATGAAAAAAATGCAACATTCCTCACGCTCCCTAGCACCGGCTTAAGCGATACACATTTTTCAACGATTATCCCGAAGTGAAGTACGGGACAAATTTTAACAGCTACCATACGGCACTTGACACATGCTGGTTGTGAAGTATAAAATATGGTAAAGGGTGATCCGTCCGTTCTAGGTATCAATAACAAAAAATTAATACGAAAATTGCAGACGAATAAGCCTGTACTTGAGGGATAATCGAAAAGTGCCACGTCCAAAGTTAGATTTATTTGTGCTAATTAGCATTCATATTTGAACATTCTTTGTATTTAATTATATTCACATTTTCTTTTTTCCTGTCGACCAGAA